GGAGTGAAATATTGTTTAAAACGGAATATGAGGCCATTCATTTGCAACTTTTCTAAGTGTCTAAAATAAGCTCAGCTAAGATTTATTCTGTAGTCACAATTCACTGGGTTCTTTAGGAGGTGGATATCCCAACTTTTAAGAAACTGGGTTAAACAAATTTAGCAGGCCTTTGAGTGAGAGATATTGTAGGCTATGGAAGATAATTATGACTACAGTTAGTAACATCAGTTAACTCCACAGGTCACTGGGGTCATTGATGTAACTAGAAGCAAAGAGAGGGGTTATCAAACATTGGTGAAAGAAGGATTCTGTGCTGAGGTTATCATAGAACTTCTCTTTGTTTGGGTTCTCATACCGCCAATCCTTTTCGCAAGTAACTCATTATCTATTTTACCAGTTGGATGAGCTGAGGCAAATATACGAGGAGTTGCCAGAGTTTCTGCAGGAGGTTTTTTTTTATGTGATAAGTTCCCTTAATTGATAACTAAGGATGAATCGGCATCTGTCTTGGCTGATTTTAATTACTGATAGGTCTCAGCCATGGAGTTAGAACACTTTCCTCATCTGCATAATGAAAAGCTCCCCCCTTGTATCGTCTATATTCAACAAATTGGTGGGTCTACAGTTTCACGTTTAAGTTTTCACATAAGTTCTATACTGTGCCATATCTTTCAAGGTTTAGCTAGGAAGATTTTTAAACATAGTTACCTTTTAGAATTTAACCTCATTACCAAGAAAGGTGAAATTCAGTTGCACGAATTCATGTTTTAGAACCACCATGTCCTGAGTTATCAGCTCAACTATGGTGTCTCTGTTCTGCAGGGTACCTCATGTGTATCTTTGGAGAAAAGCTTGACGAAACTGCACTTGACAGGCTTATTGAATTTGAATTTGCGGTACATTTTTTTGTGCTAAAAATCTGAACCCCATACTTTAAATGCTATGTCATTATGAAGCAGAAGTTTTAATCTACAATTCTCTCTTATGATTAGTTTTCGGATATAGATGGAGAGACTCAGCGATTCTTTTATCATACTCCGAAGACACGAGAGTTAGACAACCTTCTTGGAGATATCTACCACAAAATTTTAGGTATGTCTGTATACTTGTTTATATTTTCCATGGCGTGTCCTTCTTGAGTATGATGATGTATCTTGTAATTACAAAATTTCGCTGACAGATATGGAGAGGGCAATTATTAGGGACTTGCTATCACACACACTTTTGTTCTCGGCTCACCTGCTGAAGGCAGTTAACTTTGTTGCAGAACTTGATTGGTAATCAATATTCCAAAAGCTATGGATATCGCATTCCATTCTAGTCCTCTTAAATAAAAGCAGGACTTTTGAAAGTACCTGTGAACTAATTAGCAACTGTGGAGTGATGACTAAAAACTTATTCATTCTTCTGGGCTTCTCTAGCATTCTATCACTGGCTTATGTTGCACATCAGAATAACTACGTCAGGCCTGTTCTGACAATAGAATCATTGCTTGATATTCGAAATGGAAGGTGAAACTGACTCTATAAGCTGCACATGTCTTGTTGTTGCATTTATACATAAACTCACAAAAAATTGCATCCGTAACTATCTATACTGGCGGGCAGACATGTGTTGCAGGAAATGGCTGTGGATACATTTATCCCGAACGACACTGAAATCAGTGACAGTGGTGAGCTGATTAATTTCTTTCGACTATATAGGGATAGGCGTACGTTAAAGCTTAAATTGTGAACTAGTCTTTGTTCATCACCTGATTGTAACCTTGTCTGTAGCAGGCCGAATTCATATAATTACCGGTCCTAATTACTCAGGAAAGAGCATATATGTAAAGCAGGTCGGCGTTGCTATTCTAAGCCTTGTTTCTCTTCGTCCGACCAAAGTGTACTTCATCATCATGAATTGACAACTCAAATCGAGCGATCCCTTCTGGCTTGTTATTTGTAGGTGGCTTTAATTGTTTTTCTATCTCATATTGGAAGCTTTGTACCAGCAGATGCAGCAACTGTTGGTTTAACTGACAGGTCAAACGTCCTGCATTCTTTGATCATTCTACAGTCACATTTTAATATATATTTTTTGTTACTAAGATTAGTCGTACATTAACAGGATCTTTTGCGCAATGGGAACTAAGTTCATGACCGCGGAACAATCTACATTCATGATAGATCTGCATCAAGTAGGAATGATGCTCAGGTATTCCAAACTGCTTCTATTCTACCTTGAATTCACGCAGCTACACTACTGATAGGCCCTTGTGAGCCAGTCTCAATCGCTTCAGTCAGTTAGTCACTTGTAGCTAGCGAATTATGTTATTTTTAAGTTCATGGGGACCCAAGATAGCAAATATCATTCAAATTCAACTGTGGAAGAAACCGATTTGTACATTGTTCATGACTAATGATCTTGTTCCTAATAATTGTGACTGATTTAAATTATCCAGGCAGGCAACTTCAAGATCTCTGTGTTTATTAGACGAGTTTGGTAAAGGCACTCTTACAGAAGGTACGGGATTTCTCCGCCCTCTGCATTGGATAAAAAGCATGTGTTTGCGAAAACTTCTGCCTTACCCACACTCTTATTTAAGTACAGATGGTATTGGCTTGCTTGGTGGGACAATTAGTCACTTTGCTACATGTACAGAACCGCCAAGGGTATAGCGTTCTCTTGTCTGTTTTTAAGTTTGTATGTTCTTGTAGAACCCTAACATGACATTGCCTGTTGATGCATGCTTTCAGGTTCTAGTGTGTACGCACTTGACTGAACTACTTAACGAGAGCTGTTTGCCTGTTGTATGTACTCCGATCCAATCCCAGATGACTCAGCAGATTTGAAGTAGTTCCTATCTTCATAGTGAGAGTCTCATATTTTTTCCTCTTTTTTTTTTTTTTTTCACTTCAGTCTGAGAAGATTAAATTCTATACAATGAGCGTTCTTAGGCCAGACACTGCATCTGCGAACATGGAAGAAATTGTTTTTCTTTATCGGTATGGAGTCTCAGCGATTAGCATTCTACTTAAACTGCCTACATTGTTAACACTTCCCATGTTTTAACCAATGGTTTTGTTTGCAGGTTAATTCCAGGACAGACTTTGCTGAGCTATGGTGAGCATTCTTGTCCTTTGCGTTATTGTCTCATCAGCTTCTTGTGTATACACCTAACTTCAATAAACCTATTTATGTGATGCAGGTCTTCATTGTGCACTACTCGCTGGTAGACCTATAAAAATTACAAATATTTGTTTTAACTCTAGTTAATTGATGACAATATTGTTGGATCTATTTACTACTACTGTGGATTATAGAGTAACAAAAGGAAATTTATACTATTGTTGGTGGAAGGTGTACCGGAGGAAGTGGTGAAGAGAGCAGCCACCGTGTTGGAAGCCTTTAAAAGTAACAACATTGTCGAAAGACTGAGCCTTGAAAAAATATCATCTCAAGATCAAGTATTCAAGGTCTCTTACTTGCAAAAACGTATATCTTCTGTCCTCAATGGTTTTACCAAACGTTTACTGAAACTTAAATGAAATTTCACAGGATGCTGTTGACAAGTTTATGGAGTTTGACATCAGTAAAGGTGACATCCGTAGCTTCTTTCAAGATATCTTCACTTCCTAAAACCCTTACTCAAAAGTCAAAGACCGAAGACAATTACATAATGTAACCAAAAGTTTAGTATTAAATTAGAGAGTTAGATTGATATTGTGTATTGGTTGGTATATAATAAGAAAAGGTAAAAACCAAATAAAAGCCACACTCAACTGTACCAAATAAAACTATAGAGCAAAAACTAGACTGTTCTATTAACAATACGGCAATAATCTCTATATTTTTAATCGTAAAGCAACAACAAAACCAGTTCATCACAACGATCCCATGACTACTAAAAAAAATTCACAAACTTTTTGATGTACCTTTATTTCACTGAACAGAAATTGAGATTAATATATCAAAAAACGACAATAAAGCAAAAACAATATAGGAGAGCTATTTCTATTGCATCAAAATTTCAAAAGGAAAAATAAAATTGGAGAGCTAAGATCCTACCACCAAAGGTACTATATTGTAACTGTTCAAGGTAAAAATGAATAAACGGGTTAAGAAATTTGCATGTTTGTGCGGGTATCTATCCACATACCTACAATCGAAAAAAGAATTTTGACAACACACTCAGCAAAACCAAACATCAGAAGAGAGATGTGCTCAAGAATACAAGGTAAATATTTTCGATAAGATATATATATCATACACTGGTTATTGTTGAGTCAGGAACAAGACCTTAGTTACTTTTGGAGATGTGAACTGGACGTTAAACACATACATGTTTAGTAGTAACCTAATGAACTTTTGAATAGTTGAGTACTTGCTTTTTTGTTGTTGTTGTTGTTAAAGACCAAAAACCAAAGATCGGCATTAACCTCAGGCTGGTGGTATAGACATCATCAAGCTTGTACTATTTATTCCAACATACATTGAAAAATAAAAACAAAAACCCCACTTAATTACATTCTCCTTGTTGCTCCATTTCGGGTATATGATCATTCTCCTAATTAAGTTTTTATAACAAGCTGGCGAATAAATTATACATTTATACATATAGATTCTACATCATTTAAAGAGTTATTTTCATTTATAATTGTATAAACATGATTACTTTAAAGTTCAAAGCAATAATCATGTTTATTGTAGAAGTAGAAATTGAAGTAATCCTGTTTATTATTGTTCAGAATAAGAAATCAAATCTGAATCTTAAAGAAAATAAAACGTATGGTCGTATGGAAAGTATCGTTTTACATTTTAAATTTTTCTTTAAAAATATTTTTGTTTATATGAAAAATAATGTATATTTTACATTTTGAAAAAACTACCACCACCGCTAAAAGATGTATTGGTCCACATTTATAGCCCATTAGGTTCTAAAGCCCACAATAGGCCTACCACCTTCAATCAATCGAGGGTTTCTTCTTCTTTTGCGTCTTCAAAAAATCAAATTAAATTGTTTGGCGGAACAAATCAGCCGCAGAGAGTGTTTATTCTTGAAGCTTTAAATTATTTTTGTTTGGTCGAAATTTGAAAGAGTTGAAGATGATGTCGGATCTTCGTAAGGATTTGGCAGAGGAGGTCTTCGCTAGGCTTCCGGTGACATCGCGATCAGCTTGCAAAAAGGGGAATACTTTATCCAAAGAGCGGAGCTTTACAAAGAAGCAACTTGGTCAAGATAGATCAGCGACGAAGAAGAAGAAGAAGAAGAAGGAGGAGTTACCTTCAATGTTGGATCTTCCAAGGGATATGGCAGAAGAGGTGCTGGCTAGGCTTCCGATGACATCTCTGAGAGGCTTCCGAGCTGCTTGCAAAACGTGGAACACTTTATCTAAAGATGGGAGCTTTACAAGGAAACACCTTGCTCAAGCAAAAGCTGCAGCAGTAAGGGAGTTTACGGTGGTCATGGTGATAGATTTCAAGGTTTATTTGACGAATCTCAGTCTCCACAAGGGCGTTGACCGACCTATAAACCATCAAGGTAAGCTTACTAGCCTAGACGATCCGAATCAAGTCGAGATATCTGGAGTTTATCACTGCGACGGTTTAGTCTTATGCATCACAAAGGGCTTCACTAGGCTCGTTGTTTGGAATCCGTATTGGGGTCAAACTTTGTGGGTCAAGCCCAGAAGACTTCACCAACGTCCGCACATGTATAGGTATGCTATTGGATACCAGAATAGCAAGTCATGCCGAAGCTATAAGATTTTGAGATCTGTTGAATTTGAAAGTGTTGCTAAGTACGAAATCTACGAGTTAAACTCTAATTCATGGAGGGTTCTTGATGTCACTTGTGACTGGTATCTACAATATTATGCACGTGGCGTGTCTCTCAAAGGAAATACTTATTGGTTTGGTGTACACAAGTATCAAGAATTGGTATAGATGCAGGATTTTTTGATCTGTTTTGATTTTACAAGAGAGAGGTTTGGACCACGTCTTGGTCTGCCGTTTCGCTCTTTTGAGGAAGATACCGTGAGTCTCTCTAGTGTTAGAGAAGAGCAACTTGCTGTTTTATTTCAGCGTTGGGACAACTTACATATGGAGATTTGGGTCACGACTAAGATTGAGCCTCATGTGGTTTCATGGAGCAAGTTGTTTTTAGCAGTGGATATGGAACCACTCACTGGTTTACAGTTTGCAGTTACAAAGGGGAGTTTTTTTATTGACCAAGAGAAGAAATTGGTGGTGGTTTTTGATAACGATAAAGATCGAGATAAAGGCAAGGTGAGGAATCCCCGCAACACAGCTTATATCATTGGAGAGGATGGGTATTTCAGACAAGTGGATCTCGGAGAAAGTTCAGAAAGATCTAATTGCCCACTTGGCTGTTCATATGTTCCAAGCTCAGTGCTCCTCAAACCAGGAGGCAAACGGAAAAAGAAGAATCCCATTATTTATTAGTCCATTTGCGCTACCTTTGCTTTGTGGTGAGCTTCTTTGTTTTAAACCAATTACCAATATGTTTGAAACTTCTTTGTCAAAAGTTTAAAATTATGTGCTCTGGTTTCGTTTTTGGTTTTGTAAGAGAGATAATCCTTGATTCGTTACCAAGAGAGTTAATCCTTGATTTGTTAGAACTAATCCTAAACCTCTATGACTTGTATATAACTAAGATCCTACCACCAAAGGTACTATATTTTTAACCGTTCAAAGTAAAAATGAGTAAAAGGGTTAGAAAATGTGCATGTTTGTGCGGGTATCCATCCACATACCTACAATCGAAAAAAGAATTTTGACAACACACTCAGCAAAACCAAACATCAAACTGGTTATTGTTGAGTCAGGAACAAGACCTTAGTTACTTTTGGACACATACATGTTTAGTAGTAACCTAATGAACATGTATACCTTGAATAGTTGAGTACTTGCTTTCTTTTTTGTTAAAGACCAAAAACCAAAGATCGGCATTAACCTCAGGCTGGTGGTGTAGACATCATCAAGCTGGTACTATTTATTCCAACAATTTATTACCAATATGTTTTGATCGCTTGAGATATTCAAATACCATAATAGTATTAGATCAACTACATTTGTAATTATAAAAATGTAAAATAAAATGGAAAATTTTCCTGTAGCGGCTGCAGCGCTGGTTTGATCAAGATCCCAAACTGCTTCATGCACGCATTTGATAAAAAGGGAATCTCAATGTTGGGTAGGTTCCAAAGTTGTTGACATGCTTCAGGAGTTGAATCCTAAGGAATCACTTTAGTATAGTAGTTTCCATGGTTATAGTCCATCATGTTGGACGCCTTTAAAAGCAATAACATCGACAAACTAAACCTTAACAACATACCGTCTTCAGATCAAGCATTCAAGGTCTTTTCGTTTTTTTCACTTACTTAAAGTATAATTTCTTCTAAACTAAATACATCATCAGATTCCTAAAGAGTAATGATCCACAACAACAAAATGCAGTACGATAAACCTAGTATCTAATTAGAAACACAAAACTTAGCAGCTAGAACTCTCGTAAGTGTAGATTTAAAGCTATCCCCATCAGTTCCTATAAAAGGAGTTATTTGCAACTCAGAGCATAGAACCAAGACTGTGTATGAGTCCAGACATTTGAGGATGTCCGGGTCCCTATCATAATCCTAATTTCCCAAAAAGAAAATAAAACGTGAGTTAGATTTATGTCTCTGGACTTGAAACTTATAATGTTTGCAAGTAACAACAAGAAACAGAAACTTGTCTTCACCTTTTCAGTTACCACAATGATAGGCATGGAATTAGATTTTTGCTCTAGTCCTTTTGCTCTCTTCCTCATAGTTTCGACATCCTGCATTTTTCATTATGATATTGAATTATTGATCAAAGCCAATTTGATTTGAGTAAAAAGAATATGTGTATGTATCCACGTTTATGGCACTAAAAGAAATAGGGAAATAACAGATAAAATAGCTGTGAAAATAGCATAGTACCCGTGCTTCAAATAAATGATGATCACTGAAGTCAAGTCTATCAACACAACGTGCTCCTGTCTGTCAATCGTATAACCCACTAGTTAGAAACCTAACATTGCAAAATATGAATCTTTTTAACAAAATCCAGTGAACATGAAACAACAGATTAGCACAAACAACTTACCATCTCGATGCTCTTGACAAATGCTTCAGCAGATCCAATTGCGGAAACACATAGCACAGAGGCACAGCGCAATGCTTCTAAAGCCACATGTGACCTAGCATTTTTAACATTGATCAAGCATTTGGGGACCATGTTGGAATAAAAAATCAGGATCGATTTTTTGAATCCTCGTATCGTGTTCTCAATATCTCTGAGGCTTTGTTTAGTTATCTGAATGATCGAAAACAACAAACCTCAATAATCATCATCACCAAAAGAAGAGGAAGTAAGGAAAACGGAAACAGAGTTGTCAACACACCAAGTCTACGTGGTGTACTACAACAATATCTGCCCGCTCAAGGGCTACAAGAGGTTCTCGTAAGGGACCAAGGGGAACTAAATGACCATTTCCCCATGGATCTATCCCGTTAAGCATCACAATCTCGAGATCACGAGACAAACTCCAATGCTATCTACCAAAGAAGAGAGCAAGTCTTGGAAAGTGCAGTAGACAACCACAAAGAAGTTGAAAATCTCAGATTCCTTTTTGCTAATAAAGCTGCAGTTTTGAATATACCTGCATCCCATCATCTAGAATTACTGCTCCAATTTTCTTCGAAATGGTCATGGCTTCTGCTCTTTCATGGAGAAAGGATTGATCAAAGAATGTCCTTATACTAGAGGGATCTACACAGCCATACTTTTTGAAAAACCAAGCGGCAGTAGATGCCCGGTTTGCACCAACCCCAATCTTTGCCGGTCCACCTCGAAGATGTCTTTCAAGCATTTTGGCTTCATCTCCACCAGCATAACCCTGCAGTGAAGTATTTGAACTTACAAGTTGATGGCAAAATACAGTAGTGTCACAAGCAAACACTCCAATATCCAATGTTGAATAGTTTACTACATTTGAATACGTTTCCAAACAAATTCCAAACTCAAAAGTAATATAACACAATTAGAAGAAAGGAGAGATTACACGAGTGAGGATAAGAGGTGAAACTCCAGAATCAACGAGGAATTGAGAAATGTATTCCACCATTGGCGTCTTCCCATTACCTCCCCAGCTCAGATTCCCAACGCTGATCACCGGAACCGGTAATCTTCATAACCCACCCAGGATGTTCTTATCAAGTCGATCAAACCATATCATTCAATTGGTAGAGTGAGAAAACTCACCGGTGTTTCTGTAACAATGAGAGGCGGTAGAGAGAGCGGCGAATGTGGAGAGCGACTCCGTATAGAGAAGAAGCGAGTTTGAGGATAGGAACGAGAGAGCGGTGAAGAGCAGGGGATTTACTATGATCTCGCGTGTAGGCGATTTCGTTCACCACCTTCCGCAGCTTCTCCATTGACTGATTGGATTATACTACTCTGCAACTACGAACGACATGTTTTTTTTTTTTCTTCCGGTTAAAAGCGAGTCTTCGGTTTACCAAAATAATTTATTGAGGTTTGTTGTTACAGTACTGTCATGCATCAAATTTTTAACTTTATAGTCAATGATAATTTTGGACTGCATTGGATAACAAATAAAATTCTTGGATATACAAATCTGTGCTAAACCGTGAATCTATTTCAATTTGCATCTTTACAAAATTGCAAAAAAGTAATAATACAAATTTATCAAAAGGAAACGATTTACAAAGCTTCAACAACTTAAGTAAATGTATTAACCCTTTTGAAGTTTTGGGGTCTTGGATCTTCGTAGAACACAAACACCACCGTCGCAGATGTAGTCTCTAGATTCAGAGGAGTCCTTCGCGAAACAGCTGAATATATTAGAGAAGAAACCCATCAGTTTCTGATTCTAGAGATGAAACTTTCTGATAACAGACACTTGGGTTTTCCAGGTTCTCTGCATTTGTATACATTGTTGTCTGATTTATAGAGAGAAAACTCCAAGATTCATATATCAGAGGTGGAGATAAAAAAAAATAGGAAGGAGTCAATGGCGGTGTGCTAAACAATTAAAATACGTTTCTTTTTTTAAGACTGAAATCGAAACACGTTGCTAATGTGATCATGGACCACTAAGTCTTCCTAACGAACACACGTTTTCTGATGAAGTTGTTGGTTCCAGTAATGTTAAACTAAGACAACGTATAGATATGTGAAAGAGAGTTTGAGTTCCCAGTATCCTACCTGAGTTCTCAGAAGGAAACAATGCCTTCCTTTCTTCAACTCCTCGCCTTCTTCTTTGGCTGTCGTTTCTTTTTCGACTTCTTAAACCCGCCTCCGCCTCCGGTCTCCTGTGGACAATAAAGCTCAGTGGAATTAGTTCACAGAGAAGAAGGTTTTATGCCTAACATTATCAGATGGTATCAAGCAGCTCAAGTAGATAACTGACCTTTTTGTAACATCTATATGCACTTTGACCTGAAAACTCCTGTCCGGATTTAGAGATATAAACCTACAAGAGCAAGAAAAATCAGAGATCCAAAGTTTCAGACGTTCCTTGTCTCTCTGTGTTTTGTAACAAATAGTTCCCATACTTCAAAACACGTGTGCGCGTGTGTGTTTTACACATTCATTCCAGTAACATACACATTTCTATGTATAGTTTTTCTTAATTGTGGAAACATAAACCTACCTTCCTTCCTTCTGCGGATGTGAACCAATGACCTGCAGAGCCACTGTTAGCTGATACACGCCTTTTCCCAGCATCCTTTGGAGCTGCAGATCTCGTTTTAGGATTTAACCAGCCTTCAGAAGTGTGTGTGCTCTCTTGGCCCTTTGAAACCTTTGACTTTGCTTGCCCTCTTCTGCAGCTTTTGCTGCTAGAGGCTTCAGTTTTCGAACTTCCTTTGCTGCCAAATTGATTCCTGCAATGGCACTCAAAAGATATGTCAACTGCCCAGAAAGCAGAAGACTACAAGTATCAAAATGAGAAAGGGATTAGGATAACCTACATATAATCAACAAGGAACACCTCTCGCTGGCTCTCCCTATCATTGACTATTCCCAGGGGCAAGAAGTTTGGTAACCGCTGTCGAGCAAGATTCCGGATCCTTGGATCACTATGCAAGAAGAAACGATGAGATGGAGGAGAAGGGTGGGATAAATCCAAGAATTGCCCAGTTTGCTGAAAACCAGTCAAGTTATGATATCCACTATTGCTACTACTTGCCACTGCGCTGCTTTGTTTCTGAGCTGTGCTAGTCGTCTTGATGGAGCTAAAATAGTCCTGACAAACATCATCCAAAGCTGGTGTTTGAATCTTGGAAATTGCCGGCGAAAAATCTTTCCACAGATCTTTAATACAGGGGATAGATCCAGGTTCCTTTCTCTTTGATTTACTAGCGACAGATAGGTTATCCTTTGAGGATGAATTAGTTGCTTTAGTTACGCCGCTTAAATCTCTGCTGGTGGATGGATGGTCATCTTCAGAATCTGAATCTAGTAGCTGGAACCTTCGCAGAGGACTACGAGCTGACCTCTGGAACAACGATGCAATAGAACTAATCCCAGAGCCAGCAGATGCTGGAACATCCGACTGCTTTCTTTTCCCCCGAGAGATAGAAGGCTGATTAGACAAGACTCCTGTACCATGGAGTGGCACCCTTGAGCTGCAACTAGAAAAATGACTCCTTGTTGAGGCAGGTGCGTCTGCATGTAGCAACACAAGTTTTTATATCAGATGATTCATGAAACCAACAAAATATGAAGACTTTAAAGTATTACAAGGACTCGGTAGAATAATGTTAAGCCTCTCCACTAAAGCAATCCAAAAGAAACCAGTTTGAGCGAAATGAAGCTTATTCAATTTAAATTAGTGTCCTTGTAAATACCGAATTCTCAGTCTGAAGACTCCAAACCCACTCAACCTACTAGTGTCACAAACTGCAATTAAGTTTTTATCTTTGAGCCACATCAGCCTGATCCTGATATCTACGCAGAAGAGGGTTTGCGTCAACTTCCTAAATACTTAGTTTTTAGTTCTTTATGATTAACTAGGAAGGTGTTTCAGTATCAATGTATCTCCGATTCAAAGAAGCCTAAGTTTCCAGGGTAACTAGCTCAAATCTAACAATGCTCGATTCAATTATAGCAGTTAAGTAAGACCCATAATTCGAAAAGAGAAAGCAAAAGCTCAGAATGTAACATTACCCGTGTGAGAAGAATCCTCTGGAGAAGAGAACTCCTCGATGTCATCATCCCGATCCTCCCTGCAACCTAACAAGTCACTGGCCACGCCCCTATCATCTTTAGCAGGACACTTGTTTGGATTAATCCCCCGTCGCAACCGCTTGAGAACAGGGCTTACATAAGCTGGATCAAGCTCCTGATCAGAATCTGGGACCGTAAGTCCCGGCTCAGGCTCGTCCCCAATTAACTGGTCGCCGGAGGGGCTAGGGTTCTGATGGGAATCAGATTGGGGATCCGATGCAGCATCAAGATCAAACCCTAGCGAAAACGACGGCGGCTCAATTGAATCCATGAGAATGAATTAGGGATTGGAGAGGAAGAGGGAGAGGGAGAGGAAGAGTCTTCAAAGACATGGAATTGGCGCGTTGGTGTACCAAAGAAGCTTGAGATTTCGTGAAATTTCCCCGCCTCGAGCGCAAATCATGATTTTTAAAAGTTTCAATGCGGACTCGCTGATAATATTTAACTTTTTCCATTTAATTTTTTTATAAGAACGGTATCATAAATGGGCCGTTAGAAAAGCGAGCCCATAATGTAATCTGGTTGAGCGGTTTGTTAACAACGTCCATCTACTCTATTATCAACCGTGCATTTAAAAGCTACATAATTCATAATATATTTTACTAGTATTTTCACTTTATAAAAAAAAAATTTACACCTCTTACATATTAAGGAGATAAGTGTACCAAAAAAAAAATAAGAGGAGATAAGTGGACCATCGTTGTTTTTTTTTATAAAGTGAAGTAAAGATGTTTTAAACGTATTTATAAAAATAAAATAGAAAGGAACCAAAAAAGAAACGTATCCATTATCATTTTTTTGTAGGTTTAAAAAAATAAAAAAATAATGTAATGTGTGTTATTGCGTTATACTGTATCATTATTGTTTTTTGTTGGTCGACATTAACTTGGTCATTTATTTTTGTTTTATCTTCTTTGCGTGTAAGCTAAGGATTTTTCCTCCGTTTTGTTATTATTTGGTCACCATCCCTATTTACCGTTTCTTTTTTGCTTTTTCTTTTACTTTCCATTTTTATATCATTTACCTCTTTTTCTTTTTCTTTAATTTTGGTTATTTTACTTTCACGATTTCAAACATTTAATTTTCTTATTGAAGTATCCTAATCCTACCATTCAAACTATATACTTTGATATTTCGCAAAAGGAAGAAAAACAATGAAAGTAGAGAATATCAGCCATATCACAAACTACAAGACAAATAAAAAAAAAAGGTTTTTGGGGGCAAGACAAGAAAAGTTAATTACATTGGAATTGGACAAGACAACAGACCAAAGTACCGATTTTATCCAGTCTGAAATAAAAATCAACGCATTCACACGAGATTTAAGCAAGGACAATATGGTAATCGACGTGGCAACCCCGCTCTTAGCTATAATAAGATTCCTTTTTTCCCACTGAATCTCAAAAGAAAAAAGAAAGAGCTCTCTCTTAGATATGGAAAAGTGGGAGAGGTCGCTGCTGCTTCTTACATTGTCTCTGTTTATTATCGTCGCTTCTGTGGCGGCAGATGATTACGTTCGGCCTAAACCTCGCGAAACCTTGCAGTTTCCATGGAAACAAAAGTCCTCTTCTCAACCCGAGCAGGTACCAATTTAGAGACTTCCCTTAGAGGCTCCTCTGTTTTTATTTTTCCTGATTTGATCCGTATCCAAACATATATCATGTTTTTATGGTCTGATCTCTGTCTATTCTTCTTCTGCATGTGTGTCTCTGTTTGTTTTATCCGAAAAATCCCATTTTTTCGGTTAATACTTACTCTTGAGGATCCCATTTTCAAATGGATAATGAATCTGATTACTCTGTAGTTTTGCTCCTACAATTTGTAATTTATTCTACTTTGGACACAATTCCTAAAATTATTATTTCTATCAGTGGAGATGAATTTTTATATCTGTTGTTTCATTCTGAAGGAAGATTGATGTTTGAGTGATATTATAGCTATGTAGTGCATGATTCAATTGATATTGAACATCATCATAGGTATTAGGTTCTGTTTTCATATCTGTTTTGTCTTGTTTATTATACTGAGATTCATGCTTGCAGGTGCATATCTCATTGGCTGGAGATAAACACATGCGAGTGACTTGGGTTACGAGTGACAAATCGTCTCCTTCCTTTGTTGAATATGGAACATCGCCAGGGAAATACTCGTATCTTGGTCAAGGTGAAAGCACCTCCTACAGCTACATACTGTACAGGTCAGGGAAGATACATCACACCGTAATCGGGCCATTGGAAGCAGACACTGTTTATTATTACCGTTGTGGCGGAGAAGGGCCTGAGTTCCATCTGAAAACACCTCCAGCTCAGTTCCCGATTACTTTTGCTGTGGCTGGGGATCTTGGGCAGACCGGTTGGACCAAGTCGACTCTAGATCATATCGATCAATGCAAATACGCTGTGCATCTACTTCCTGGGGATCTTTCTTACGCTGACTATATGCAGCACAAGTGGGACTCGTTCGGGGAGCTGGTTCAGCCTTTGGCAAGTGTAAGGCCGTGGATGGTTACACAAGGAAACCATGAGAAAGAGAGTATTCCCTTTATAGTGGATGAATTTGTATCTTTCAACTCGAGGTGGAAGATGCCGTATGAGGAAAGTGGATCGAATTCAAATCTTTATTATTCTTTTGAGGTTGCGGGTGTCCATGCCATCATGCTTGGATCATACACAGATTTCGATCGGTACTCAGATCAATACAGTTGGTTAAAGGTGATCATTCCTACTTATCATCCTTTAAGCAGTTCGTGTTCATAAAATGAACATTTTAATAGAAAGAGTCGGTAAACTATGAAACTTTGACATGGTTTTCTTGGTAGATTCTAGCTTCAGCTGCCATTGCTTTGTTGGTATCATCAGCAGATTCTTTTTCACTTCTGAGACTTAATTTTGGTGTTATCTATGACTTGTGTAGGCTGACCTTGCAAAGGTGGACCGAGAAAGAACTCCGTGGCTAATAGTTCTCTTCCATGTACCATGGTATAACAGTAACAATGCCCATCAGCATGAAGGTGATGACATGATGGCTGAAATGGAGCCTTTGCTTTATGCAAGCGGTGTTGATATTGTATTTACTGGTCATGTCCATGCTTATGAACGCACGGTATGCTCAAAATTTGTGTTAGCTTTGGTTTATGAGTCATGAGAAACAAAATATATGTCAGCTATGATATTAATTGGTTTATTGTGCTGTTCAACAGAAACGTGTCAACAATGGTAAATCAGATCCATGTGGTGCTGTACACATAACCATTGGTGATGGAGGAAACAGAGAAGGGTTGGCTAGCAAGTAATTTCCTCAAACTGATTACTTAATGCTTTATCAAATTTCATTTTTTCAATGTTATACAAGTTAAAATGATGCCTCTGATGTGTCCATAGTCATCTTAGTGTCTGAGATTCTTGAGCTAATTCAACATACTATCTACATGAAACTAATTAATCACACTTGGAGTGCCCTTGTTATATGATGAAAGTAGTTGATAGTTTTATCTTAAAAGGGATCATGGTTCTTCGCTTTCAGGTACAAAGATCCGTCTCCAGAGTGGTCAGTATTCAGAGAAGCAAGCTTTGGACATGGGGAGCTTCAGATGGTGAATTCAAGCCATGCGCTTTGGACCTGGCATAGGAACGATGATGACGAGCCAACAAGGTCCGATGAGGTTTGGTTAAACTCTCTTGCGAACTCGGGATGTTTGAAGAAAAGGACTGAAGAACTCAGGAAAATGCTCTTGGAACCTTGATTATATAATATATCCATAAAGTGAGATTTGCAGTAAAATAGTCCATTAAGTTAAGTATATATAGAAAGCTACAAGCTTGTTAGCAACTCCATAGAAAATCATAGTTCCAACTTTTGCAATTTTGTAAACTTGTACTCTGTTGTTTTCCCATTAATTAGATACCATAATACTAGTACGTTTTATAATCAAAAACATTTAAAATTCTTCAAAAGATGTAGAAACACACAAGTCGCAACCTTTTTTTATGGTTCAATGAATGTGTCATACAAAAACAAAACAAGACAATGTTGAAAAATTCTTTACTTGTGAAACATTAGGTACAACAACTGTCATTATACTAAACGCAATACTGAAACATTCGTTCATCACATTAATCTATGATAAAGTTATGAGATAACGAATAATTAATCACAATTAGGCCATAAAGTGATGGACCGTAAGTGGGGGATTAGTTGTCTGAAGACCGTTGACGAAATAAAAAGGCTGACCATTTCCACGCGCTCACCACACACCCTTTCTCATAAATCATCAATCAAACCCATCGATCGTCTCTTTCAGATCAATTCGGAATTACGATCGCCGGAAAAATAAAATTAAATCGAAAGCCCAGTTGGAGAGAAATGCATGATTTTTGCTTCACTATCCCGTACGGGATGATTCTCATCGGCGGAGGATTTATCGGGTTTATGAAGAAAGGAAGTATTACGTCATTCGCCGGCGGTGCAGGCACTGGGTTATTACTCATTCTCGCTGGTTATATCAGTCTCAAAGCTTTTGAGAAGAAGAAGAATTCGTATATCGCTATGGTTCTCCAGACAGGTGTTTCAAATTTCTTTCCTTTTCTGCGATCTGGGTTTTTATGTTTTTCTGTTTTTATGGTTAACTGTTTTTGGATCAAGGAATTAGCTTTGAGAGTTGATAAATAAGTTATATAGTTTAAGGAGGATGTTATCTAGTGATCTGGATCTGAATTAGTAATCTGGTTATATGATGATCTGATTTGTGCGATGATGATGCTGGACTTGCTAACCAAAAATGAAAGGCAACATTTTTAATTTTGTTGTGTTTGGATGAAGCAGTATTTGAATTGGTTTGCTAGTCTTTTCTACTCATAGTGTCGCTTTAGAGAAATATGCTGTGTAATTTGGTTACAACAACTACAAGGTTAATAATTGAAGGGGGGTGTATTGTTTGAGTTGTAAGATGTTGTAGTTGAGTAGATTCCTGCTTTTAATTAGTGTCCTTGCCATTGATTGACACAGCACCAACGTTAGATAATCTAGCTCACAAAAATCTATTTGCGTTTTCCTATTTAAGAATCTTCAGTGACTGAAACTTATCTGAATGTTTCTTTTTTTCTGATACAGTTATAGCAGCTGCTCTCACACTAGTCATGGGACAACGTTACTTGCTGACTGGAAAGGTTATGCCGCCTGGTTTGGTTGCTGGGATCAGGTAATTTCTTATATTCTCCCGTCCTTCTGTGAAACGCTGGCTAGGCTATCTATCTTTGTTTGCATCTAAGATTTGGTATTTTGAGTTTTTTTACTCCATTGACTTAACCTTAGAACCATATCTGTATTGTAGTGCTCTCATGACCTGTTTCTACGTGTACAAGATTGCGACTGGTGGCAATAAATTCCCATCAAAAGCTGAATGATGGTTATGCAACTCTGGTTTTTTCGTGGATGCAGATGATACTCGCTGTTGTTAAATTTGTCGATTAGAAATCTCTATGGTGTTGACAATGCTGCTGTTATAACACCTTAATAGCTTGTATTAGTCATAAGAATTGCACATGGTCTTATGTGTTTCTGATATGAGTTTCTTGTCATCGTGTTTTTGTTAACCACAAACTGTGTTGACTGTTGAGCCATATTATATATGAAGATATCTGACGTTTTGATACACACTTGGGGTCTGAGGATGAGCATATCTGAAAATAAACTGGAAAATGACCCATATGGAAGTTGATCCTCAAAACTTCTTTGCACCTTGTGCCATTACAACAAAATCTTGAACTGTGTTTGATCTCTCCTTAAAGAATACAATTGATTCATGACTGCAGTGATTAAGGCAAGACTCTTTTGCAAAAATACAGAAACCGGAACCAAGCTATGTGATGATGATTCTTTTGCAGAAGTTGGAGAAAAGGCTGTGCCCTGATGCAAATGGAAACTTAAGCTAAAGGTCCATCAGTGGAGGTGACCCATAGTTTTAGAAAACTTGTTTTTTCTCATGCTAGAAATGTTATGGAGACCCAATGTGCTCTTTGGAAATAATTTTTCATGCTAGTAATCTTTTACTTAAGCAGGTGACAGCTAAGATAAGTTCTTTTTTTCCCCATTCTCAAAATACTGACATTATTGTCACAAATGTAGAAAATTTGCAATTAATGCCACTGCAGAATCTGATTACGTTTTAAGCTAAATCTACCATACGGGCGTGGTAGTTTGTGTAGACTATTGCTAAACAGCTCATTGGTTCAATTATTCACTTATTCTTCATTCCATCTTCAGCAAAAGAAAGTAAAAAGAAGCACTGAAAGCTCTCCACTACCATGGCATGCACTAGAGTGGTCTTTCTGGTTCTGATCAAGTTCTTCATTTTACAGACTGCTTTATCAAGCTCTTGGCAAACATTGAGTGGTTAGAGTCAGAGTTCTCTCACTTTTTCTACACATGATTTCTCTTTTCAAATGTTCTTACAGTTTCTTGATGTGTTTTCGGCAGGGAAGCCTCCGGTTGTGATTGCTCGAGGCGGATTCTCTGGTATATTTCCAGATTCCAGTATTCAAGCATATCAGTTGGCGAGTATTACAACTTCAACTGACGTAACACTCTGGTGTGATCTTCAACTAACAAAGGATGGTGTTGGAATCTGCTTTCCAAATCTGAATCTTGACAATGGTTCTAATGTCATGAACGTTTACCCAAATTACAAAGAAAGTTTTTCTATTGATTTTACAAAGAAAGAACTCTCTCGTGTGGGATGTAAGTCTCTTGTTTCTTTGAACCCTCTTCTTTCGAGTAAAGCTTAAAAAATGTTCCAATCTTTTGAAATTAACAACTCTGAAAATGTTTCAGTTCAACGTTTCTGATTGTAACTCTAGTTTTTGCCCCTCAATAGGTGCCCAGAGTGTTCCATCAAGATCAAATATATTCGATGATGCTTACCCGATATGTACTATTAATGACGTAGCAGAAACGGCAGCTTCAGGCCTCTGGTTGAACGTCCAGGTATAATGTAGCGATATACTCTTTTATTCACTCAATGTCTTTTCCATATGATCATAAGCAATCTTCTTCCTCTGCTTATCGTTTCTACACTTATAGGACAGTGCTTTCTACTCGCAACACAATATGAATATGAGAAACTTTGTTGTCTCTATATCAAAGCGTGTGAGATTCAAATTCATATCTTCTCCTGAGATCACTTTCTTGAAGAGCATGAAGAACAGTGCCAAGCGGACTGTGACAAAACTCATCTTTAGATTTCTGAACCAAGACCAAATAGAACCTTTCACCAACCAATCTTACGGCTCTCTTTCCAAGAATCTAAGTTATATAAGAACGTTTTCGTCTGGAATTCTTGTTCCAAAATCTTACATATGGCCCGTAGATTCATATCTTTACCTGCAACCCCACACGTCGCTTGTCACAGATGCTCATAAAGAAGGTTTACAAGTTTTCGCCTCGGAGTTTGCCAATGATTTTGTTATTGCTTATAACTACAGCTATGATCCGACGGCTGAGTATTTATCTTTCATTGACAATGGAAACTTCTCTGTTGATGGTTTCCTATCAGACTTCCCGGTGACTCCATACCGAGCCATCAGTAAGTAAAAAATAACTCTTTTTGTATCTCTCTTCCCAGTGAATTGGATTGCATTGCATATAACTTCAGCTATGATTCTTGTTTTCTTTTCAAGATTGCTTTTCTCATGTGGACACCAAAAAAGCAGAGGATCAAGGTAATGTACAAGAGAAAGCCATATATATTATATATGATTTCTAAATTTTATAATTGCACTTAACCGTTTTGTCTTGCAGCTAAGGTAACTATTATTTCGAAGAATGGAGCGAGTGGATATTTCCCAGGCTGTACTGACTTGGCGTATCAGAGAGCTGCAGACGACGGGGTTGACATTCTTGATTGCAATGTCCAGATGTCTAAAGACAAGATCCCCTTTTGTCTGAGCTCCATTGATCTTATGAACATCACTAATGTCATCGAAACTAGCTTCAGAAATCTGTCATCAGTAGCTGCAGAGATTCAACAGAGAAGTGGGATCTACACTTTCAGCCTGACCATGTCTCAAATACAAACCTTGAAGCGTAAGAACAAAACTAAGAAGTAAAATCAAGATTCAACATAAAGACTCTTAATGGAACTTCTACCTAAGTTTGGCTTTGTTTACCCTTTATTGCAGCCTCTATTTCGAATCCTTATCTCGCCTCTGCTTTACTCAGAAACCCAAGAAACAAAAACGCTGGAAGTTTTCTTACATTATCGGAGTTCTTGTTTCTTCCAAACCGTTACAGCTCTCTCATAGGCATTTTGATAGAAGTGGAGGTGGGAGTTATGCTGCAAATCTTGTGTGTCTATAAAAACAATACATGAATGTTTTCTTGATATAGCATCTTCCTTTTCTTAGAATGCAGCTTATTTAGTGGAACATCAAGGAATGAGTGTGGTCGATGCTGTGCTAGATGAACTGAAGAGAGCTACTAATCAACAAAACCAGACAAGTGCAAGAAAAATATTGATCCAATCTACTGATAAGTCTGTCTTGATGAGGTTTAAAGAGAAGAAGCACATATTTCATGATGAGCTGGTCTATAGAGTCGATGAAAACATCCGTGATGTAGAAGATTCCGCAATCAGAGATATCAAGAATTTCGCAGGCTCGGTTGTCATCAGTAAGAAATCAGTCTTTCCCACTAATGATGGGTTTGTCATCCATAAAAAGGGGCCAGATGTTACTCAGAGGCTAAAAAATAGCGGGCTTCGTGTTTACGTAGAAACATTTAGCAACGAGTTTATAAGTCAGCCATTTGACTTTTTCTCGGATCCAACATTGGAGATAGACTGTTTTGTGAAAGGTATCAAGATTGATGGCATCATCACTGACTTCCCAGCAACCACTGCAAGATACAGAAGTAAAATAAGTCTCATCAACTCTGTATTGCTTCTTTTAACTTTCCTTGCACAAATCTGAGATAATATTTGATTGCAGAGAACCAGTGTTACAGCAAACTGAATCCGGTTGGAACCGGTGAGCTCATAACTTTCGGGAATCCAATGTTTTTTGGTCCGGCCAAAGCTCCATATCCATTTCTAAATGACTCAGATGTGACGGAGCCACCATTGCCTGAAGTAAGAAGTCAGCCTCCTGCTTCTGCGCCATCAAAGTCAGAGGAAAAAACAATAGAAGTTCCCTTTGCATTTATAACCATGGCTATTCTTGTGAGCTTCTTTATTTCAGTTTAGTTTTAAGTGCCTTGTAACTGACTTGAATTGCAGCATCTGCAAGTAAATCTATGAATAACAACAATGTTTTAGTATATCATTCTTCCAAAATTTCTAATTTAGAAGAGGTTATTAATAGGAATATGGAAATGGATAAACATATCTATTAATCCAACAAAACCAAATTTAGCTTATTTGATTTTAAGTCTCTTCCAATGGATTCTTCACCCAAAATTAACCAACCATCTCTCTCTCTCTTTTCAAGAAAAAAGAAATCATAAAAATAAACAATCAAACATAAGGGAAGGATTGATTCATAGTAGCAAATATTATTTCTCATTTTTGTTTGTTCCTTCTTCTTTTGAGGCCAAAAGAGACCAGATTCATTTTTGGTTTCTTCAAAGGCCAAACCTTTTTTTTCTTATTTTCTTATTTTCTCAGCAAACCTTTCTGCCATCTTACAAAGAAAGAAAGAAATCTGTTTGTCTGAGAATTATCTCGATCCCTTTTGGATTCCGAGTTTACAAGAACATTCATGAACTTCGAGTAATCATCTTCTTGTAGTAATAGTCCAGGAAGATACATATAAACATATAGACAGAATGAAAATAAATTGCTTGCTCTGTTGTATGTCGGAGAGACGATTTACCAGACGATCATCATCGAGACAAAGCATCAAAGACTGCATTGATGCAAAGAACAATATAACTACATTTGACAACATCTCTTTTAAAACAGGTTCCAGTTTTTACCTTTTTCATTATGTAGATACATTCTCAAAATATTCCCTAAAAGCTTTCTATCTAAACGAAGTGAGACATATTTGCACATACCTGCAGATAGCAGTAGGCGAAGATATATATCCGAGGAGATAGCAAAACTCGGGAAAGGGAACATTAGTGCTCATATCTTTACATTCAGAGAGCTCTGCGCCGCCACCAAGAACTTCAACCCCGATAATCAGCTCGGTGAAGGCGGATTTGGAAGGGTTTACAAAGGGCACATAGAGACCCCGGAGAAAGTACTTCTACTACCAGCATTCTCCTAAATAACACCACCTCTCCTTCATTTTCTGTTTAGCGGTTTGATTCAGATTCTTTCGTGTTTAGGTTGTTGCGGTTAAGCAGCTAGACAGGAATGGTTACCAAGGGAACAGAGAGTTTCTTGTGGAGGTCATGATGTTGAGTCTCTTACATCATCAAAACCTTGTCAATTTGGTCGGATACTGCGCAGACGGCGATCAACGGATTCTCGTCTACGAATATATGCAAAATGGTTCTTTAGAGGATCATCTTCTAGGTAACATAAATCTAAACACCATAATAACCACGTACTTTCACATCCACACATTCTAAAGTTTACCTATTTACTTCAGAATTGACGCGGAACAAGAAGAAGCCGTTGGATTGGGACACAAGAATGAAAATAGCAGCAGGAGCAGCGAGAGGGCTTGAGTATCTACACGAAACAGCTGACCCTCCTGTGATCTACAGAGATTTCAAGGCCTCCAACATATTGCTTGACGAAGAATTCAACCCAAAGCTTTCAGATTTCGGTTTAGCTAAAGTTGGTCCGACCGGTGGAGAGACTCATGTGTCAACGAGAGTGATGGGAACATACGGGTATTGTGCGCCGGAGTATGCTCTCACAGGACAGCTCACTGTGAAATCCGATGTGTACAGCTTCGGAGTCGTGTTCTTGGAGATGATCACAGGAAGAAGAGTCATTGACACCACAAAATCAACTGAAGAACAGAACTTAGTCACTTGGGTAATAATAATAATGCAAAAAGTTGTTCAATTTCAATCTGACAAACAAACCCTTGATTGTTTAACTTAATTGGGTTTTGCCAAAATGCGCAGGCGAGTCCGCTGTTCAAAGATAGGAGAAAGTTCACGTTAATGGCGGATCCGTTGCTTGAAGGAAAGTATCCAATAAAAGGATTGTATCAAGCGCTGGCAGTAGCAGCAATGTGTCTTCAAGAGGAAGCAGCAACGAGACCAATGATGAGCGATGTAGTCACTGCGCTCGAGTACTTAGCCATGAAAACAGAAGAAGATGGAGAAGAAGAAGACGAAAGATCCAAACTTTGAGCCATTTTTTTTTGGTTTTGTAATTTTAAAATGATCGGTTTTTAGGAGATTTGAGGACTTTTGGAATTCACCCAAGACAAAGAAGATTAAATGAGAGAGTTTTCGAGTTCCCCTCGACCATTTTTACGGATTTGCAGATTGTTCTATTAATTGATGAGATCTGTATTTCACAAGGTTCAGACTTTCTTTACTCATCCTTGTTAAGAATTTTTTTTAAAAAAAATCACAACTTTTTCGGAAAAATGTCTTTTTTATACAATTTGGTAATTAATTTAAGAGGATAAATGGGGTAAAGGGTTTAAGGGTTTGTCATAGAGCAATGGCTACCAGCTCAGCTTTGTGAAAGACGACAAAATCGACACGATAAACCCTTTTCTTTATCTCTGGAAGAAGCAATTCCTTCAAGCTGGGGAGATTAGTTTCGCTCACGGCCATGGGGGTTTCTCTTCGTCACCTCTCTCCTTCCTCTTTCTGGGTTACGCGTCGTCCTCGTGTTTCTTCTTCAATTCTTTCTTTTCTTGTGCCTCGCCGTAGAATCATTTGCAGGTTTTACAGCTTACCCATTTGTTTTCTCATGTTTGTGCTCTTACTGAAGTTTAGTTGTTGACTTATTTGCCAATTGCTCTGTTTCGTAAGTCTGTTTTGTTGGGTATATAGTGATAATTCACGTTTTTTGGTAGTTGAAGAAGCAGGTAAAACTTGTGTTTGTCAGCAATTTGTGTATTGGGTACTCTTCAGTTTCTCACTTAGGAGGCTAATTTGTTCTTGTGAAGGTTTCATACTCGAGTGTCAAAAGTAATTTAGGCGTCGGCTGTTGATTAGCCTATTTGGTTGAGCAGGGCAATGTATTTAAGTTAGAGGTGGTTTGGCTATTAATCTGAGCTTGAAGGTGTTTCTCTGTGTGTTGATACCATTTTTGGTGTTTATGATTTGCAGGAAAATAGCTATCACCAATGGAAATTCCGGATATTCCACTGCTACTGATTGTGGGGGTTCCCATGGATTTCAGCTTTCGGGTCATCAACGGTCGTCCTCTGTTGAGTTTTGTGGAGAGTGGAAACTTAATTTGGGATCTAAGACGGCAAGAATGGTTCCGCCAACTGTGAAACAAGCTGGAACTGTAAGTGCTTGGAGGGAGGAAGCCAATAAGTTCAGAGGAAGAAATGAGGAACATGCTAACAACCAGGATGATGCTTTTAGTAAAGGCAGTTATTCTTTCAAAGGCTTTGTCCCCAAAATAGATGATGTCCAATCTTATGGAAACGGCCAGAACTTTGATTACAAGCTGAAGCCAGGAAGTGATATTACCACGCTTGATAGAGAATTGAATGGCTTTATGCCAACTAATAGTATAAGAGGACCAGTCATAGCATTACCAAGCAAGGATATTGAGGTTGAGGGAAAAACAGACGTGACTCTGAAAGGAGATAAGGATGCACATGGAAAACAAAAACCTCTTCAGAGTGAGTTGTCTCTTGACAATGCAAGCTATAAGAAGTCAGCAACCATTTCCAAGGTGGAAAAAGGCACCGACCTTTCGAAAGTCCGGGCAAACCTGAAGAAAATATATAAGAGGGTTCTTGTTATCGATGATGTTTACACTGCAAAGGAAACTGTGGCTAAGCTCATGAATGAATATAGAAATCTTGTCCATGCTTGCGATACAGAGGTGTGTGGTCATGTGTTTGCTATTACATTGTTGTTCACATGGCCTAGAAATGCTAATGTTCTTGACGCTTCTTTTAATACTGCTTGTATTCTGATAATCAATTATGTAGGTTTCCAGGATTGATGTGAAGACTGAAACACCTGTAGACCATGGGGAGATGATATGTTTCAGTTTATATTGTGGATCAGAAGCAGATTTTGGAGATGGAAAATCATGTATCTGGGTAGATGTCCTTGGCGAAAATGGAAGGGATATCTTGGCTGAGTTTAAGCCATTTTTCGAAGACTCATCAATAAAAAAAGTGAGCTAAAATGAGAATCAATTTGCTGTGTTTCATTATTCATTGACATCTGGATAATTTGGTGTTATGAATCTTATTTAGCTTTCTCTCCTGTTGTGTGTTTTCTTGAAAAATCGATTGGCTATTTTCTTCACCTTGCCTCTCCTTTGTTTAGTTGAAGACACTAATGACTTCTGAATCATATTTTTGTTTTAATTTTGTAAATCAATTGAAAATGTTTTCGTGATCAGTAAACCAACGCTTATAAGTTTGACTTTTTCTTTTACTTTTAGGTATGGCATAACTACAGTTTTGATAACCACATTATCAGAAATTATGGAATCAAGCTTTCTGGTTTTCATGGTGATACAATGCACATGGCACGATTGTGGGATTCATCTAGACGGGCATCTGGTGGTTATTCGCTCGAAGCACTTACAAGTGACCCAAGAGTTCTTGGGGGAACTGAGACAAAGGAGGAAGCAGAATTATTTGGTAAAATATCTATGAAAAAGATTTTTGGAAAGGGAAAACTGAAAAAAGATGGATCAGAGGGGAAATTGGTTATTGTTCCTCCTGTTGAAGAGCTACAAAAGGAGGATCGAGAAGCTTGGATTTCCTACTCGGCGTTGGATTCGATAAGCACACTTAAGCTCTATGAGAGCATGAAGAAACAACTGCAAGTGAAGCAATGGTTTCTTGATGGAAATCTAATTTCAAAAAAGAACATGTTTGATTTCTACCATGAATATTGGCAACCTTTTGCTGAACTTCTTGCCAAAATGGAAGCGGAAGGAATGCTTGTAGATAGGGATTATTTGGCGCAGATTGAGATTGTAGCCAAAGCAGAACAAGAAATTGCTGTTTCAAGGTTCCGGAATTGGGCTTCAAAACATTGTCCAGATGCGAAGCATATGAATGTTGGCAGTGACACGCAATTGCGTCAACTCTTTTTTGGTGGCATTTCTAACAGGTATGCTTCTTGCAAGTCTTGATTTGAGCTGCCTTATAGAAGTTATCTTTGGAAGAAACATGATATTTTGGTATTTGACGTGTACCATATCACTTTATTCAAAGAAAACTAAGTGTATGACACTCTTTCCTCAGAAAAATTGGTGAAGATAGTACATGCACAGCTCTCAGATTGAGTTTGTGAATTGACTTTTCTTCTGATTATGGTGCCAAACAGGAATTCATAATTTCGTTTCTTAGTGCTTACTTCTGATACTAAGTTTTATTAATTTCTGTTACAGTTGTAATGAAGAGGATCTTCCATATGAAAAACTATTCAAAGTTCCCAATGTTGATAAGGTGATTGAAGAAGGAAAAAAGAAAGCCACAAAATTCCGGAATATCAAACTGCATAGGATTAGCGACCATCCTTTACCCACTGAAAAGTTCACTGCCTCAGGCTGGCCCTCTGTTAGTGGAGACACCTTGAAAGCCTTAGCTGGGAAAGTCTCTGCAGAATATGACTATATGGATGGCATTTCAGATACTTTTCTAGAAGAAAACTCTGGAGATGATGATTTTGTTTCGCTACCAGATGAAATTTTAGAAACACAACACTCAGATACCTCTGTTGAATCAGACACATCTGCTTATGGAACAGCATTTGATGCGTTTGGAGGGGGTGAAACAGGAAAGGAGGCTTGCCATGCTATTGCCGCACTATGTGAAGTTTGCTCCATTGATTCCTTAATTTCAAATTTTATTCTTCCGTTGCAGGTATGTTTTTCTTTTAAAACAATTTTCCCTGGATTGTTTCCATTAGCATATCCTTTCAGGTTATGTTTTAATGGAATTGGTTTTCCTGAATGACAGGGAAGTAATGTGTCCGGAAAAGATGGTCGTGTCCACTGCTCCCTGAATATTAACACTGAAACTGGCCGCTTATCGGCTAGAAGGCCAAATTTGCAGGTACATGGCTTGAACTTAATTTAATAGTTAGCTTGAATGGAGATGTGATCAAGTAACTAAGCTTCTCTAATTTCTCTTTTGATGAACCTTTTGTAAAATTTTAAAATGTTGTGGAATCAAGAGCTAGTACATCTTTAGATTTGAAATTCGCAATGTTTATTTTTACTTGGAAGCATAGTACATCAAAAATTTGTTTGTAAAGTTTAATTTTTTTCTTTCTGTCTAGAACCAACCTGCATTGGAGAAAGATCGGTACAAGATCCGTCAGGCCTTCATAGCATCACCTGGAAATTCACTTATTGTTGCCGATTATGGACAGGTGAAATTATAGTTATACATATCTACTTTTTTTTTTAATAACTAGTGAGCTCACGTGTTGACTGTGAGGCGGTTTTTCTATCTTCAGCTGGAACTTAGGATTTTGGCACATCTTACTCGTTGCAAAAGTATGATGGAAGCTTTCATAGCTGGTGGAGACTTCCACTCAAGAACAGCCATGAATATGTATCCACATATTCGTGAAGCTGTTGAAAATGGTGAAGTGCTCCTTGAATGGCATCCACAACCTGGACAAGAGAAGCCACCAGTGCCATTATTGAAGGTGAATCCTAGTTTTATGTTTTCGAAACAGAGATTTTGGAAAATCCCAAAGCTTGGATTTCTTAGTCTTTTTATTCATTTTGCTTGTATAGCTTAAGAGAATAATTCTATTAGTTCCTGAATTCTTACAGCTGGAAAAATGTTTTCTTACTTATCTAGGATGCCTTCGCTTCTGAGAGAAGAAAAGCAAAGATGCTTAACTTCTCGATTGCGTATGGTAAGACTGCTGTTGGCCTCTCTAGAGATTGGAAGGTACTATTAAGTCAGCCATTAATATTGATATGAACATGCTTGATTTATTATAATAAGCTTACAGAAGCTTCTTATCCACCTTTCAGGTTTCAAGAGAAGAAGCTCAAGATACAGTTGATCTCTGGTATAATGACAGACAAGAAGTCCGCAAATGGCAAGAACTACGCAAGAAAGAAGCTATACAAAAGGGGTATGTACTCACTTTGTTGGGAAGGGCTCGTAAATTTCCTGTATACAGTTCACGTGCCCAAAAGAACCATATCCAACGAGCAGCAATCAACACTCCTGTTCAGGTTTGTATGCGCTGACATATTAACCATCTTGAACTCTATTGACTCTAAACCTCAATCACCACTATTAATACAGGGAAGCGCCGCTGATGTTGCTATGTGCGCTATGCTCGAGATATCAAAAAACCAACGTCTAAAAGAGCTTGGCTGGAAATTGCTTCTACAAGTAATACTTCTCACAGATTCTTTACATAACTACGAGCTTAGATGATTGATTATCTAAATGGTTCCTTTTGGGCTACATAGGTTCATGATGAAGTAATTTTGGAAGGACCTAGTGAGTCAGCGGAGACTGCTAAAGACATAGTTGTGAACTGCATGTGTAAACCGTTCAACGGCAAGAATATTCTCTCAGTCGACTTATCTGTTGATGCTAAGTGTGCTCAGAACTGGTATGCTGGCAAATAAGAGGAAATTAGTAAAAAGTTATGTCTACTGAAACGTAAAAACGAGGCAGTGAGTGCGTGAGAATTTTTGTTTGTCTCATTGGCTCTGTGAAAATCTGTTCATATATATGTGAAAAAGGGTAATTTTCTTTATCCTAATGAAAGCTAATTGTAACCATCTTCCTTTTCTGTTAAAACACATTGCTGTATAATTTAGTAGGCTTGTGACATTTTGCTTGAGAGAGTTGGTGATTTTAACTTTGAAACGGATCCTCTGCACCAAAGACAGGATTTTTGATTTTCCAAGATATCTAACAATCCAACGGTGAAAATTTAACCAATGAGAAAACAAGTAATCTTATCAAATAAACGTAAACAAGGGGATGATATCAATTTAAATCCGGGACGAAGCTTGGAGGCAGCCATGGCTTCCATTTCATGCACAGCTCCTTGTGCGAGCTTATTCTTTTCTACCACTAACACTTCTTCTTCTTCTTTGTCACTTAAGCTCCCCTCTCGGTTTCTTGGAACTCGGGTTGTGAAGCTCCGGCTCCGACTCGGACCCTCCAATGGGTCTAGAGCCACTTGCTGGTTCAAGTTCGGAAAGAACGGAGTCGATGCTGAGAATGCTGGAATCTATGGCAGCCAGTCACGTGACGATTTTGACAGAGACGACGTTGAGCAGGTCGGTTTCACTTTTCACTTCTAAGTTGTTGAATCGCAGACAGTAGTTGACGATAGCGTTTTCAGACGCAAACGCAATTGTCAATAAACTCGTTTGTGAAGAAAACAGAGGAGATGCTAACTTTACTGGTGATTTGCAGTATTTCAACTACATGGGGATGCTTGCGGTTGAAGGTACCTACGATAAGATGGAGGCTCTTCTCAACCAAAATATTCACCCTGTCGACATCCTTTTAATGCTGGCTGCCTCAGAAGGAGACAAGCCTAAGATTGAAGAACTTCTCAGAGCTGGTGCTGACTACACGGTTAAGGACGCTGATGGCAGAACCGCTCTTGACAGAGCCATCAGCGAGGAGATCCGTGACTTGATCCTTGGATCCCTCCCTCAAAAGGCTTGACAAATAGGCCTTTTCTTTTGCAGAGTTAGCTTTATCTTTCAAAGAAGGTGATGTCTGTTTTTGTAACTCTAGTTGAAATCTCAGTTGTCCTTCATGTTTTTAGAAGAGTATAGTCAAGAAGCCTCAAGAAGCTACAACTTTAAAGTAGAGATTGATCTTATACCAAAAGATAACCTTTTTTTTTCTTACCAAACGTTCAACATCAATTGTTAACAAACAAGAACGCAAAAGCTTTTCTAAATGGTTATTAACATAATGTCTGAGATTGTCACCAGCATGGTAAAAAGAAGACATTAAGCTGCTCAAACATCTCTATAATCCCTGAGAAACGCAACTATCTAATCTTCCAATATACTCATTGCCGCTTGACTCTGATTTCATTCACTCAGCAGAATTCTCGTGCAACAGTACGTACTCTCGGCTGCAACCAAAAGAAAAAAAATACATGTCAAGAACAGAAAGAAAGCAGATGTTGACCCAATAATGTGCACAAACAAGCAAAGAATAATTACAAGGAGAGTAAAGTAAAACAATTATTCATAATGGAAGACAAGAATTGAACTGTCTTCATTAGAATACCTGCTGTTGCCAAACTTTATGGTGTCTTTCTCAAAAAGCTCATAATATCTTTGTGGCTCAATGGGTTTTTCCTGAAATAGGTAAAATGTTATCTTTATAAACGTTTGAATTAACCATGATAAAGAAGCAAGCAAGCAAGAAGGAAAGTAATTGAGCACTTACATTGATATAAGTTTTGTTAGTACTGCCCAGATCCATTATGTAAGGCCTGCAAGGGAAATTACATTTAGCTTAAAGCCAGAAGAGGTGCAAATTTTTAAGCAAAAATGAAAGAGCAAACAGGGTCTTACTTGACTTGCTTCCCCATCATACCATTCGGTTTCTCTTTTTCCATTTCCCTGAGAAAAGCATATTCAAGGTGAGATATATATTAACCCTTATTCTCAATAGATCGATTGTCATAAACTTTACTATTCAATAGGATAAGTCCGCGTCAGAAACTTACCGGTACTGAATAACAGCATGCTGTTTGCTACAAGATGGATGGTCTGTAGGAATGTCAGCAATCCTTCTCTCACGTCCAAAGAGATAGCAACTTTGACGATGTAAGTAGAGAGGCTCTGTTAATCCAAACATACATATCACATGCACACAAAAAAACACATCAAGAAAACTATTTCAGGGCATTACAAGTTAGAAACAAATAAAAATGAGAAACAAATACTATATCTGAATGAGAAGGCAACCCACGGTCCAAATGTATCAGATCAACGAAACTAGTAATCCTCTCAGAGCCATAAACATTTGAATATTGCATAATAATATTCATTTAATTTATATTGACAAGTTCTAAGAAGTATTAAGCAATAATTTTGGCTACTCTTGGTAATCATGCATTCATGGTAATATGTGGATACACAACCGTCAATGACCACAGGTACGTTTACAAGGCTAGAGTCTATCAAATGTTGTCGAGCATCATTTCATTGCCACTACATGTTTTACTGTATACTTTCGGGACAAAAAAAAAATTGACGTTCACCGCAGAAAGATAATTTAAGTGAAATACATTGAAAAGAAATGAACCACTACTTTGACAGATGGAGAGAGGATTGAAAGACTCACCATTCAGTGGTTCACCACCCTTAAAGACATACAGTCTCCACCTTTCGCTGGGTTTTCTAGCCTCTGGGGGCTCACTGAAGAGGAGTGTGATACCTGCAACGGATTCAATCAGTCACAGAAGTATGCCTATGGTGAAATTTAATGCGATCAACCCCATCTCCATTCCTGGGAGGAAAAATGGAATTGGCAGTCAAAAAAATATATGCTGATGCAGATGCTTATATATTGAAGCTTATAGTCTCATTAGCTATTTACTATTTGACCAATGAAAAATCTTACCCAATTACAGACACAAATGCATACAAAATAAAGAAAGTATGACCTGATAACAAAGGCAGATGTTTCACAGTTCAAACATGCAATGAAGATACTATGGCAAAAGTTTATACACAAGGTAAATGTAATAGTTGAAATTCTTAAATCAATGCCCGGATCAGAAATATCACCTCTGTATCTGTTGGTTTCTTCAGCAAGTTTCCCTGATAGCTCAAATGATGGTTCTTCCTGCAAGATATCAAAATTGGTTTTGGAACGTAAATGCATGGATAAGCCAAGAAAACTCAAAATGATTTTGGAAATTGAAAATCAATAGATTCTTGATATGATACCTTTTTCTTCGCTGCCAGAGCCTCTTCAACTGCTCTCATTCTCGCGACTGAATCTTCTTCGGCATTTCTGTTAAAGAAAACCCCAAAACATGGTTAAAGAAAAAATAATGAAAAATTGTGAAGGCTAATTTAATAAGAAGAAAACTCACAGCTCCTCGCCGCCCCCTCTTACATTAGACCCCTGGAGAGACAAAAGGGAATCAAAATGACTGAAGAAAAATCTGTGGCTCGCAGAAAATAATAGATTTGCAAAACCAACTATGATTTATAGAATGAGCTTTTACTAAAAGAAAAGAAACATGAGAAGTGACATTATGCTGAAGGGGATGGAAGACACTACATTTAGCAGTAAAAATAGCTGGCTGCAGGTTCTAGTAATAGACTCAGGCAAAAGGCTAAATTACACGATTCAAGCAAGCAGCAGAGGCTAACTTTTACTAGCATACACCAAAGCTAAACAATTTCAATTTGAAGCAGAATATGGATATTCCCATGTAAAAAAACAGAAAGGACTATTCTGAGATTACTAACATATCAAAGCTAAAGAAAGTCACAGATATACCTCATCATGCCTTGAGACAATAGATCTGTCTGGTGAATGCCGACTACTTCTGTGACTCATATCCAATGGTGAAGTGGACCTCTCATGCCTTCCTCTAGAGCGTCTCTCATCATCTGCTCCTACCCTTTTCCTTTCATCACTTTCCTCTCTCCCTGAGCGTCTTCTCTTATCCCCAATTTCCCCATCTTTTTCTCCTTGCCTTTTTCTCTCCCTGTCCCTATCTCTTCCTACTTCTCTATCCCTACTGTTTCTCTTCTCCCTTCCTCTATCGTCATGCCTATCATCTTCTCTCTCTCTACTCCTCACAGCCTCTTTCTCGCCTTGAGCTCTTCTCAGTCTCTTCGTCCGTGGTGAAGGAGACCTGGAACTTGGAGCCATTTTTTGAGACAGGTCGTTTCCTTTCTTCTTTGCCTTTGGAAAGAGAAAAAATTGAGACCAGGGTTCAGTACAAGAAAAGAGGAATGTAAGCTCTACAGAACACTAAAACCCTAGTTCCAAAATGCATAGAAGAAGTAGAGGAGGTGCAAATCCCTAAAATCTAAAACATAAAAGCTACAGATTTCGAATACTAATTTCAAAAGTTTCCGGCATAGTTAAGGGTCGCGAGTATCACGGAGCTTTAAGAGAAAGATGGTGAAGCTAATTTACCTGGTGGCCGGAACTGTGACTACTTCGGCGAAGAGAGGAGGAGAGGAGACCCAGAGAATGAGTAATATCGCCAGAAATAAGAAGAAGAAAAAAAGAAGAATCAGAGCAAAACGAGAAGAATCTCAATTAAAAAAAAATGGGTGTCTTTTGTAAATAACAGGTAATTGAGGGGTTCAATATTAAAACTGTTGTTAGTAGACATGTGTCAGCTCCTGATAAGTTCTTTGTACGTAACCTTGTTCGATTGTTTTTGTTTGTTTCTTCGTCATAACTCTGCACACAAGTCACAACGTCGTTTTATCACTGATAGTCAAACAAATCGGGGAGAAGGAACAACTTAGGAATTTAGTCAATTAGGTATTTGGATGAGTCCAATAGATCTCTCTTCTTATTGTCTAGGTGTTTTGTTCTCAACATTCAACAATGCAGAAGCTTGACCTAGGTGTTTTCTTTTCTTTTCTTTGCAAAGAAAAGAAAAGCTCATGATATAAATCATAGTTGTTTCTTTTCTCACACCTGGATTCACTCGACACACTTGTTGCGGAGAATATATTTTATTTTATACACTGTAAGATTAAGCTATTGAGAAATGTCTTTTGCTTGCTCGATTCTACATGTCAACAATGCCGTGAAGATTCGAAAAGCATATAGCATATGTTGTTTCAATATCGGTAACACGTTTGGTATATGCTCTACTAGTTTCTGGATTTTTATTATTTATTTTTGGCGTCTATGAAATATATATATAAGAAATGTTGATTTTGTTTTTCATAGTATATATTTAGGTAGTACATACCAAAAATAATAAATAAGATTTTATTGTTGTGTGGTGCGAACAGAAGCCAACAAGACTAATAAAAATCGCAATGGCCAATATCAGTAAACAAAACATTTCAAACCCTTAGCGTATGCTTTTTGGATGTATTTCTATATTTTCACTTTTATACAAAGTTTTTTTTTTGTTTTTTGGTAGTGTAATCTAATCGCGAGTTTAATTTGATAACGAAGAAACAATGTTATAGTCATAGAAGATTGGGCGAGCGCACACAAGGGTTACAAATTTCGAAATTTTTACCTAAAGTATTTATGTTTGACCCCATTTAAAAAATAAATGTAATCTGTTTGACAACAAAAATTTCTGAATTCAAAATGCCATCGATTATATATAGCATCATGATTCCTAATAATATGTATCCTGATCCTAATGCTTATTTACGAATCGAAAAATAATTATTTTAAATGACAAAAATAATATATATTTAGTTTTCATGCATGAGTTGTTCAAACTCATAGGTTATATTTATTATACTCTTCATGAGAAATCATAAAAAAATATATAAACTTTAATTTGGTTCAAAAATGAAATTTTTATATCTATAAGAATTAATTTTAACATCATAGGCAAACACAAGTGTCGTGTATAATATACCATCTTGTTTTAATTTAGTTTAAGTGAATTGGTTATATGCTTCATGCACGTCATTCTTATCTTATGATGATTTGCAAAATCCTGGCTAGACTGTCACATATATCAGCATCGTTCATCATCACCTTCTTCGTTATATAATCTCATATACAGTTTTAATGTGACAAGGTCCAAATTATGTTATCTCAAATTGTAAGCTAACGTAGCCACATGCGTCATAACTTGCTGATGAAGAAAGAGGCAATTACCGAAACATCTATCAAAACGGTATGGTACTAATTAACTTTACAACTTTACACAATTCGATCGTATCTCACAAACTAAAAAGTGCAATATGATGTACATGCTTTGTAAGCTAAACAATAGTAAAATAATTATCATGCCGGACTATAAAAGGTTCAAGAACGTAGACCGACGACATTTATAAATATATTGTTTTTAGGTATTCGTTTTTTTAGCTAACCAAATGTGTAATGTTGCCTTCATCACGTTTTCTGTTATATCATCCGCTTGTCACGTTATAAAGCCATATATATATTATCGTTACACTTAGTACCAGTTCCCCACGAATTACATATCTCCATCATTGACTAAATTATATTTTTTTTTGTTTGCAGAAGACTTTTCCTTATATTAATAAATTGTTGTACTTCTTTCACAAACAAAATAAAATTTGTTGCACTTTTTTCATATATATACTTAGAAAAGTACATTAAAAAAAATTGTCGATCGAAAATATTTTCGTTAACCGAAAACATGCATATATATATGAAAATATTGTGTGTTAATTAACTAATAGATTTAATTTGGGTTTTATTATATATATATATATATATATATATATATATATATTATATGTAATATAGTGTGTGCTAACGAACTAATAAGATAATTAAATTTAGCAAATCTAAAGTTGATGTGTACATTTATATTGATCTCCGCTACCAAACAAGAAGGTGATCCACGCCCCCTTTGTGTATCTTTCTTTTGTTCTTGCACATAAAGAAATCAATCTGTTCAACTGCCATATAGAATACTAAACCCCACGAATAAATATTATTATATGTGGCAATGTGAATAGTTAAACAATAGAATGTATTGTGCACAAAAAAAAAAAAAAACCAATAAAATGAACAAAGGGACAGAATCGTGCCAAACCTACAACATTCCAGCTGACCTCTGCCTCCCTTATTACTACTATATAGAGGTCACATTTGAGAGAGTTGGGCAAAATAAAAGTCTAAATAGCATTTGTCACATCTTTCTTTATACAATATCGAACTACTCTTCATTAGCCTCTCTTATCTAGGAAAGTCTCAATGGAAGACTCAGCACTAAGCAACTGCGTGAGGCGAACAATATTCTCTAATATCCAACAGAGAACAATACAAGAGGCCGGTATAGAAGAGAGTAGTTGGACAATGTACTTTGAAACCCAAGATGGATTAGGCCATAACGATGATTCGTCTATGATGTCGGATGCTGCCTCTCCTATGGGATCTGTCGAAGAAGACACGGCTTCATCTCCTTCTAACAGAACCAAGGTCAGTCCACAAAGAAGACAATCTTTAATATATGTTCATAATACACCTACATTAATATAGTTTAGTACACACATTACACTTATGTATGATATTTCATGTGGTTTTATATATATAACTAATCGTTTAGATATGCTTGTGTCTTCAGGGTTACAGTGAAATGGAAGACAATACGATAAAAGTAAACACCGTGATGAACAATACCAAAACTGAGGTAAGAAACATTCAACGTTATAACCACCTTCACATATTAATTTTTATAAAATTTTAAATTGTTCTGACAACTAACAAAAAAAAAAACATTGTTACGGGTTTTACAGGAGAAAGAAATGATGAGTACTAAAAAGGGGATAATATATGAAGACTATTGCGCAGAATTGAAGAAGAGAGGACTCTGTATAGTCCCATTGTCGATGTTGTCTAACTATATTGGTTGAAACTTTAATTTGCTTGTGTTTTTGGAATCATATTTTTTCAATTATTTTAATTTTTTTTTTGTATTGTGATTATTATTTTATTTTTTCTTCTAATTCTATTCTATAAAATCTATAGAATGGACTAAGTAATTAATTGGGAAGACTTGTAAAAATCATGTCGGAAAAACATGTGTAATAAAGAGTTAACATGTTTTTGATACACACACAATCACGAGTCATGTTACATAATGTATGTATATTTGTGGAACATCTTGTAATTCCAATGATTGAAAATATATCCACATTTAGCAAAACAAAAATCTTCCAAATAGCCAACGATCTTTAGCCAAAGTACGTACATGTGTCTGTGTCACTCCTGGTGGGAACACCTTTCTGAGTTCTTTTAATTTCTCCGACTGTGAGACTAGAGATATATATTGGATATTTATGCTTTTGCTGAAGAACGAAAAGAATATAATTTCACACTGCTGATTAAAATAGACCTGGCAACAAATTTCATTAAAAGAAAAAAAAAAAGAAAAGTTTAATCTACATTAATCGTATTTAGTTAGATTTATGAAGTGGGAAAGTTTTTGTAATTTTCTACATTAATCGTATATTATAAGGTTAACCCGAAGACAAAATTGATGGTAATAAATAAATAAAAAGTTGATATGTAATTAAAAAGGTGCAGATTTGAAACGCAAAATGGTTTCCTAAACGAGGAATCACGAAATCACGACCGCATCAGACACAGAAGAAATAGAGCGAGAGAGAGAGAGAGAGAGCTCCTTCTTCTTCTTCTTCTTCCGCTCACTTATTAGATCTGCTCTCTCTATATCAGTCTCCAGGGTTTTTGGCCATTGCTCCTATTTCTTCTCGGCGACAGCAATGGTTTCCTCCACCAAACTCAAATCCGTTGATTTCTACAGGTCCGATCCTCTCATCCCTCTTGCACATTGGTTTCCTCGATTCTTGTTGCCTAATTCCGAGCACCATCTCTGATGCATGTCCCCATGTTTATACATTTTGGATCATGTGTCTCGAAATTGCGCGTTTTCGTTAATATGGATTTTTTAAGCTTGTCCAATTTTCGTGATGATCTGTTTAGGAAAATCCCGAGAGATTTGACGGAGGCATCTCTATCAGGCGCTGGGCTATCCATTGTAGCTGCTCTCTTCATGGTCTTCTTGTTTGGAATGGTTTTTTTCCTTTTTGTCCCCCATTGCTCTTAATTTGATGTCTCTGGATCGTTTTCCAATGTGATCTCTGTTTGATCAAGTAGTAGTAGTCTTGTAATCTGACAAAATTTTCATCTTTTATTGCTTAGGAGCTGAGTAGTTATTTGGAAGTCAACACTACCACATCTGTTATAGTTGACAAGAGCACTGATGGGGACTTCTTACGCATTGATTTCAACATCAGGTTAGTCTTCTTTTTGCAAAATAGTTGATGTGACATTTTGTCAAATTGTTTCTCTTCTATTTCTATGTTAAATGCTAGATTCATATGAGGGGGAAATGGAATGGTTTCCTTTATAAGCTGATTGTTGTTTTTGTTCTCTACCTTTTTGTAGTTTTCCTGCACTTTCATGTGAATTTGCGTCTGTTGATGTGAGTGACGTGTTGGGAACTGTAAGTCTTCTACTCACTACTCTCTGTCTTTCTCTTTTGATTATCTCATTCTCACTGTTTAAATGCATTTTGGGATTAATGTTTGTATCATTATCAGACACAAAACAAAAATGCAAAGGGAAAAAAACCTTAATTCTTGACACTTTCTTCAGTATAAGAGAATGAATCATTGGTTATATCATATAAGATATGCCATCTATATAAGCATTTTGATTTGGTTGTGCAATGATGGTAGTTTATTGATTCCGTGTTATCAGTAATTATTGTCCTACTGCAAATAAATAATCTACAAGTGTTTATCATGTAGTTGAAACTTCAACTTTACCACCTAATCCATGTGTCCCATTTTCAGCTAAGAACTGTTTATGTAATCCTGCCTTTAACCGAGCTTTGACATTTATATATTTACCCTGCATATTATTTATCGTTACCTGGGGCCCTAAATTTACTTATCGTTTTCAATTTATCAGAATAGGCTGAATATAACAAAGACAATTCGCAAGTTTCCAATTGATCCGCATTTAAGGTCCACTGGCGCAGAATTCCACTCTGGCCATACATTACATCACATCAACCATGGAGAAGAAACTAAGGAAGAGTTCCCTGATGGGGCTATACCATTAACCAGTGGTAGTTTTGAATCACTTTCACATCAGTGAGTAGGCAGCTTCTTTTCTATCTTGCTTGCATAAGTTTCCTGTCTGAGGGTATCGATTAACATAAACTGAATTCTTATGCAGCTTTCCAATATTGGTGGTTAACTTTAATGCACCATGGTGCTACTGGAGTAATCGCCTGGTAATTCTCATAATATTTCTTATGCTTCTTATAAACTTTCCATTTTCATGGTCTTTTCTTCTAGTATGAAAGCACTAATGATCCAGCAACTCGAGTTCTGGATGTACTCATCAAAACTTGTTTTTCCTGCTTGATGTGTGAGAAAGAATTTGCCTTAATTCGTCATTGACTGGTACTTGTTAATATACACTATGTGAAATCCATAGACATGCCATTCTCACAGGGAAACTTACTTCCGTTCTATTGCCTGTACTATGTTTTGTGCTAAAGGGGTCTGTGGTTTGCTATTTTGTTTTAGGAATTCTACATGACAATCTCCTTTTGTTGAATTATATGTTGTTCAAGAATTTTGTATCTTTCAGGGGCGTTATGTACATCCATACATGTCTGATACTTGTCTGACATTGAAGAAGTTTTGTTATGTTTAGTTTGATGAGTTCTTTTTGTATTTTCTATTATGTGCTTCAGAAACCTTCATGGGAGAAAGCAGCTAATATAATAAAGCAAAAGTAAGTGATAGACTCTTCGGCATTTGTTCAACTCTTAAGTCTCACTAGCTGATAACTTTCTGAAATAGCTTCATGTTTATATTCTGCTGCAGATATGATCCTGAGACTGATGGCCGTGTTCTTCTAGGAAACGTTGATTGCACGGAAGAACCTGCGCTGTGTAAGAGGTACTATGAAGTTGAAGTTTTTCTTCAATTTCTTGTTGTTTTGGCTTATATGAAATCTTAATGACTTGTTCTGAACGTTCTCAGAAAAGATGGTTTGTTTCTTACTGGTTTATGAGTTTTTTCCAAGAAGAGCTTAATTTGTGTTTGCTCACCTTTTTAAATGCCTGCTATTTAAGGATGCATGTGGAGCAACGAATGTCATTTTAACTAATTTCTAGTTTCAGTTAACACTAATTTTGGACTATATTTTCAGGAATCACATACAAGGCTATCCATCTATTCGTATTTTCCGCAAAGGCAGTGACCTTAGGTGAGAACTATCCGATGTGATGTTTAAACTGCCAGTTGCTTAGTTATGATTCATCATGTCTTTTATTTAACCATATGTATCAATGCTGCGACTTGTTTGAGTTTATGTCTCCTAATTGTTTTCTTAGTACAGTCAAATGTTGACACATGTGCAACCATTACGTAAATTAGTGCAAAACTTTAAATGCTTTTCTTTTCATCTTAAAACTTCCGTTAGGTTTATTAACCACATATCTGTTGGTGTATATATATTCTTATGAAAGTGTGCCTGTTTTTTGTTTCCAGAGAGGACCATGGACACCACGAACATGAATCTTACTATGGAGATCGGGACACAAAGAGTATAGTTAAGGTAAAAATTCCAAATTTCGTGCCAGTATCTTGAATAAATGAGTCAACATTCACATCTATATGGATATGAGTATTAATCACGTCGTTCTAGTTATATAAAAAGGTGTAGTTGTCTGTAAATTGTATGTAAACACATACTTATATGCAGAGCATATCATATTGGTACGTTGTGAGTCAATAGTAAGCATGTTCTTCTAAAAGCTTACAAGGATTTTCTTTCTTCCAGATGGTGGACGAATTGGTCGCACCTATCCACCCGGAGACTCACAAGGTAGCTTTAGATGGTAAATCCAATGATACCGTAAAACATCTTAAAAAGGCACCAGTTACAGGAGGTTGTAGAGTTGAAGGTTATGTACGTGTAAAGAAGGTAACTCAGACTTGAAAAAAAGTGAAAAATGAATGAGTATCCTGTAACTGATTTGTGGCATGTTTGATAATTTTGCCAGCTTTTCCGTACTGGAATTTTTTCTTTTGTATGTTTCAGGTTCCAGGAAACCTCGTTATCTCAGCTCATTCAGGAGCTCATTCATTCGATTCTTCTCAAATGAACATGTCGCATGTTGTTTCCCATCTTTCATTTGGGAGGATGATTTCTCCTAGGTTGCTGACTGATATGAAGCGGTTGCTGCCATATCTAGGCCAAAGCCATGACAGGCTGGATGGAAAGGCATTCATAAATCAACATGAGTTTGGTGCCAATGTTACTGTAAGTCGCAAAAATCTTCATATGAATTTAGTGTCTTGAACCTTCGTCAAAATCTTTTATCAAAAAAAAATCTGAACGCTGTATACAGATTGAACACTACCTTCAAATAGTCAAAACAGAGGTCATTACAAGAAGATCAGGTCTAGAGCAAGCAGTAATAGAGGAATATGAATACACTGCTCACAGCAGCGTGGCTCAGACTTACTACTTACCCGTGGCAAAGTTTCACTTTGAGCTCTCTCCCATGCAGGTTCAGTCCCCATTTACACAAAGAGAAAACATGTCTCGCAAATGTCTCACTACACTTGTCTCTTATACTTGCCTATTTATCATTACTCCTTGGTTGCTCTGTTTTTGCAGATCTTGATAACCGAAGACCCAAAGTCCTTTTCTCACTTCATCACAAATCTATGCGCCATTATTGGTGGTGTTTTCACGGTTAGTATTATCTCAGTCTATCTTTTGCATTTTCATACTCTCATGGATTCCAATTTCGGATTTCGCCTGTCGATTTTTTCAGGTTGCGGGAATACTAGATTCGATTTTCCACAATACAATAAGACTAATAAAAAAGGTCGAACTCGGCAAAAACATTTGATTGGCGACTGGAGGTTAGAGTTATTCTTTTATCTACAAAATCATAGAAGAACCTCAGACTGTTTACTTCATATAGCTGTCCTACAGAGAAAACTTAGTAAAGAGGAAAAAAAATTGTTTGACACTCTTTAATTTGTTACGATTATTGGTAATTTAATATCCTCCTTGTTTTTTTTTCTCCTTCAACTATTTCTGTATATTTTTGAGGACATAAACACTATATTAGTGAAAACACACAAGTAGAACTTTTATTCATTTACATGAGAAACAAATGGGGTAAAAATCAAACAACAGACACCAACTGACACAAACTTGGCTGAAGAGGGAAAGAGAAAAGACTCCATACAGAATGAAAAGGGAAGACAAAAGAGAAACTTCTTATTGTAGGAACAAAGTGGAAGCTAGAGCAGCCCCAAGAAGAGCAGCGGCAAAGGATGAAGAAGAAGAAGCTGCATTGTTGGGAGTTTCTTGAGACGTAGTAGGCATAGGTGCTGGGCTCATCTCAAATGTTCCTGAGACGGGTGGAGAAGGAGCAGATTCTCCTGAGGGAGCCGGGGCTGGTGACGGCAGTGCTGATGATGTGTTGTTGTTGTTACCGCTTCTATCAGCCATGACGATGACCACAAGCTTCTCGTTTTTCTTGCAGTTGTCTTTGTTTCCACTGATGAAATAGTATGGCCCAGAGTGGTTTAGCGTGAAGGAAGTTTTGCCATCAGCGAATTTAGCGGTTGGTGAGTCTGTGTTGCAGCTGTCATAAGCGTCTCTTGTGACTTGGAGAACTGAATCTTGGTTTGGTTGGTAAACGAACACTGCAATTGTATAAATTTGTGTGCCATATGTAAAAGAGATTATGGCTGCAGTTATCAAATTGGATAGTATTTAGTTCAGTTTGAAAACTTACACAAAGAGTCACCGATTTGGAATCTGCTCTGTTCTGCCCATTGACTGTACACTTGAGCAGCAGAAGGTACGGTCCACCCCTTCGATCCACCTACCGTGAACTCTCTAGCGTAGGCTTTGTTAACGATCATTAGCAAACACACGAGACAGAAACCACTATATGCCATGTTCTTTAGGTTTTGGGCCATTTTGTAAAGCTAAAAGAAGAGAAGAAAAGCCAACGTAAAGAAAACCAGAGATTTTAGTAAGATGTAGGTATTATCTAGTGTGGTGGTATAGGGTTTGATATGACATGATGAAAGGCAAATGGGTTTATATAAAGGTGATAAAACTTTTGAGGAAATGTTGCAGAGAAGCTTTTTATTGTCTTTTTCAAATTTGAAGCAAAGCATAAATGCCTATTTTCAAGAACTGTGTTTCAGTTTTGGAATCTCCTGTGACTTGCTTCTTCTGTCAATAGCTTTTTGTTCTTTGCTTCCGAATCTTTGATTGTTATTTTATTATTATTTTTCCGATAGAGATCTTCAAGAACGAAGAGAGAATTCACAAGATTGCAAAATCAAAAGACTAATAAAAGATCCCTTAATGTCAAAAAAAAAGGCCAACACTATTCTGAGATTTTGGGAGTACCACAGAACAACATACACTTTAATACTTTTATAGACCAAACAAAAGTATTAATACAACATTGTCAATATTTTCCCATATTAGATCAAATCATATAACAAATATATCTCCACAGCTGCTCGTTTTGATCCTTCTCTGTTCAGCAATATCATCAAAACACCAAATCTTTAGAATTTGAAGACCAAAAAACTGATCAAGAATGCTAAGTTTAGCTATCTCTTCAGTAATTAATCCATCATTAGTGCAAAGGCCGCGACGGTTGCAAAAACAAGGGACATCAAGACGCTGATACCGCGTCTATGTCCTGAACTCTTCTTGGGGAAATGTGTTGGAAGCGCACATTCTTCTCCGTTGAAGAAAAGCCTAGTCGGGAAACCGTCGCCTTCTGGAATATTCAGTCCTTTGATGTTCTTCTTGGAGAAGGAGATAACAGATTGTTGCTTTCCTGGCACGGGAGGGTCTCTTAATGGATTGGTTCCGTTGACTTGACCGACAAGATAGTTCATATCTCGCAAGCCTTGGAAGAGAAAGGTTCGGTTGTTTGGTGGAACACGTGTTCCATTAAAGGAGTAGACGTTTTCATATCCTGGACCTGCCTTCCCCATATCAATCGCCACAAACCAGTCCTCGAACGCAAAATTTCTCCAATTGAAGACGGTTAACCTTGCGGTCCAACCAGTTTTGTAATCCGTGCTAACGTGCCAGTTAATACTGACTCCACAGTTATCCGGACAAGGAAGTTTCTTTGGTAATGACATGTGGTTTTGTTTAGCCCATGCTCTAGCCTTTAGGGTTCGGTTATCGAAGGGAACAAGGAGGGCATCTGGAGGAAGGAGGAGCGGGTTACGATGAGCATCACAAGTGTCAGTATCAATATCGTTGCATCCGCAAGCGCAAGTGTTACAAGGAATTGCAGAGCTGTTGTAAAAGGCAGAAAAAGATACACAACATCTTGAGGCTTGGGCTTTGGGTTTGGTTATGTTGCAGACCACTTGCCAGCTGGCGATCGCATAGGTTATCTGTAGACCGCTAGGATCCGGGAATGGAGACGGGTCTACCCGAACCGGTGCCCCGCATTTGTACTGCGGATTGAGAATACCGTCAATTTTCCAATGCTGAGGTGGGTACAGAGCTGTTCTGTTTAGGTCAGGAGGCAACTTGAAAACCTAACAAATTGAGAGAAGACAGAAACTTGAAGGCACTAACATATCTGTGATTCGTAACATCTGCATTTCAACAAACGAGAATACATACCTGCAATTGAAACATCGATCGAGATTTCGAAGGATCCATAGTAGGTGGTAAAAGAGTTCCGTTTTTGCAACAGAAAGGTAACTTTCCCGTTACGTTATCGTCCTTCTTCTCAGGAGGCAAATCTGAAATGGCTGGCTTCTTCTGACAATTCATGACCTGAGAGAAATCCAAGTCTTTGTAATACTGTCCAGCTTTGCTGTAAAGGCATTCAGATGGATCTTTCTTGTGAGTGTAAGCTCCTCGCATAGTGTTTATAAACTCTCCCCGCATCCATTCAAATGTTAGGTTCCAACGGTCTAAACGTCCGAGTGGATTATCATTGTCGATAGTCACTTGGGCTAAGTAGTTGCTGTCGAACGATTGCAGAACATCATAGACTATGTTCAGATCACCGTACCTTCTCGGTGGAAACTTTGTCTTTGGTCCAGTCTTGTTCTTGAACTTAGGGTTTCTCTTGCAACATACGTTCATACTACCTCCTGCGCAAGATAACAAAACTCACCGTTTTTAGAAATCAAGTAATATTTAATTATTTTGATTCACATAATATATATATATATGCAAACGGAAACTTTTGTTTATGTTTTGCATTACGTTCACAATTTCCAAAAAAAAAAATTGATTAGCAAAAATAAATATTTTGATATAAACATAAATGAATGAAAGTTTAAAACAAAATGAGTATATTGTGGTATAACCTTTTCTTTTAGGCGCAGGGCATTCCCAACCATCGTTGGTGAGCTTAATAGTTCTTGGCATGGGCGTGACCCCTTTGGCAACCCCGAAAAGAGTTCCGGTGATCTCGATATTGGTAGATATCTGAGTGAAATCACCGGCGGTTTCAATGGAGGTTTTCAAATCCGTGTTTGGCGATCCAATGAACGTGGTTCCATTGCTGGCGTCCAGAGGATAATCGCCGTCCATAGGAGATGCACCGGTGGCAGAAACGATCAGCTCTTTGTGACGGAACCCTATGAACATTTGCCAACCTTTGAGCTCTTCCCTACCCGCGTTTACAATCATCGCAGTCGCTTTAAACGCCCACGATTGCGCGGTCACGTTCTTGACGTGCGGGTACTCTCTTTCCCGGCTGCCGAAGTTGTAGCTCATGAAAATACCGTTGCAATGTGCCATCTCAGGTGGAGGCTCGACTCCTCCTGCTCCGTCCTCTCCCGGAGTTCCATAGTCTTGGCCGTTGCAAAGAAAAAGAACTGATGATAACAATATCAATAGACTTAACGAATAGCGTATGTCCCAAGGTATCTTCATCCCAATAACCCTCATCGTTTTCAAATTTGTTTACTTCTTTCTTCCCCACCGCCTTGTGATTACTTGAACCGCAAGGCAGCGAGAGAAAGAAAAAAAAAACACAAAGGAATCAACAAAGCCTTTTAACAAAGACGAAGATTGATCAACGATGAGGGGTTAGTGTAAAGAACCTGTATAAAGATCAAAAATTCCAAATATTTGATTCAAAGAAACGGAGATGGTTGGAAAAGAAGATGTCTTAATATGGGCCTCTGGTTTTATTTGGTGGTCACGCGGAGAGACATGCAAGAATGTGTGTTAAGGCATTTACTAATTTTGGACACAGGAGAAGAGAGAGTTTCATATTTGTTTTTTTAACTAAAAACCGCATCGATTGTTTTCGAACAATTATTTTACTTGGTGGATTCAGAACAATTTGGATTCTCATTCTAGTTCAGTTTCATTTCAGAATTCTGGTTTTTTTTCAATTTTTTTCAAGAAGAAAGCCAATATTGGTTAGTATTGGATTAGTCTAATCAATTTTGAGTTTGCAAATTTTAAAAGAAAATGTTCGTTTCAGTTTATATTCCATAACAACTAATCTGATATACCTAGAAATTTCTACATAGGATTCACCAAACGATGTTTACATATAGTGTAGATTGCTCATTGCCATTAGTTGTATGTTTATATCTCGAGAATTAATATGGGTGATAAGATAAAATAAAATAAAAATAAAATGTAGCATATACGAGAGTAGGAAAATAAAAGAACGTGAGAGGTCAAATTATATGAAAAAAAAAAGTTATGTATTGACATATGAGTTTGAATTAGTGTTGCTAACTAGGTTTAAGGCATGAGAGCCTCCTATCCAATTCAACCCGGCTCCAAGACATACAAGTATAGGTCAGTCAAAAGGGTTTTGGGCCAGGCCACTTAAAGTCAGAATGCATGTTCGTTTTTATTTTCCCCACCAAATGCAACGATGTTAATAAATACAATCATCTCTATATACAATATGGTCAAGTAATATGATGAGACTACAAATTTGTCCACTAGGCCACGCCACTGACAACCACAACAACAACAAAAAACAAAGAACACTAGCTAGCTACTCTTATGAGTCTCTCACCATATTTGTTACATCTTTTCTTTTTTCATTCAAAAACAAAATTAGAATTTCTTACACTTTCTTGGTCTTTTAAGGTTAAATTTCAGTAGTGCTTTTCTTTTTCTTAAAAATTCTGTTATATCTGTTTCCCTCCAGTTATTATCTCTAGTTTTGGTCCTTTTATACAATCCAATATTAAATAATTATCGTCTTTAGTTTTATTTGGCTTCTCTTTTAGGCTAAACGCGTGTACGTGTGTGTCATACTGGGTCGTCTCTTTTGAGTCAACTTGAAATATCATCCAATCACACAAACCAAAGAATCTATATAACTAGATCTTCTTCTTCGTCTTTCTTTCAGACAACAAAACAAAAAACAAAAAAACAAAAAGAAATAACGAAATCTTGAAAGTAAACAACAAAAATGGATCAAGACAGAGAACGTGGAAGAAGCTGTTGTGGCTGCTGCTTGAGCTTCATCTTCACAGCAGGACTCACCTCTCTCTTCTTATGGCTCAGTCTCCGTGCCGACAAACCCAAATGCTCAATCCAAAACTTTTACGTCCCTGCCCTCAACAAAACCCTGAATTCACGGGTCAATACCACTCTCAACTTCATGGTTCGTTGCGACAATCCGAACAGAGACCAAGGAGTCTACTACGACGATGTCCGCCTCACCTTATCCACCGCCAACACGACCAACACCAACTCCTCTGCTCCTCCCCTCTTCGTTGGCAACTACACAGTGCCTAGGTTCTACCAGGGACACAAGAAGAAGGCCAAGAAGTGGGGTCAGGTTTCGCCGTTGAACAACCAGACGGTTTTACGAGCGGTTTTTCCTAATGGATCGGCGGTTTTCAGGTTGGATCTGAAGACTCAGGTGAGATTCAAGATTGTGTTCTGGAAAACTAAGAGGTATGGGATTGATGTTGGTGCTAATGTTGAAGTCAACGGTGATGGAGTCAAACCTAATAAGAAAGGGATTAAGATGAGGAAAAATGATTCTTCTTTTCCATTATCAAGAATCTCTTTCCCTATTTGTGTTTTGATGAATTTGCTACTCTTCTTCGCCATTCGTTGATTTGATTGGTCTTGAATATTTTTTGTTTTGATATTCAAATTGTCTTTTTGATAAATTTGTTCATGAGTTTTTTTGTTGTTGCTGTTGTCTGTGCTAGTTCCATTATCTTCTTGTTAATTCGACCAATGAATCATTTATTCCATTTTCTTCTTGTTTGCAACTATGTAACAGTAGTTCCTAATTCCTATCAACCAATTCTATTTGAAATTCCATTATCCAATTTTAAATGTTACAGGACAATACAATATTTTTGGGGGTTGTTGTTATCTTACCTCTTCTAGTCAGTACGACAATAAAATTAAAACTTTCAAGTCCGATATTAAACCAAACACATATATATGAATAACAAAGTGTGATCTGTCTATAGTATATGTTTTATTATTATGACTTTTGCTTTGCGAATAGTCAGGGTTAGTCTGTTAAATATCATTTTTTGTTTTCGGTCATGAAAACTACTATATAGTAAAAATATTTTTTTCACAAAACCCAGATTTTATATTTTTAAAAGACTTGGGAGTCTTTTTCAAATGTATTTTGTTTCGAATTTTGGGAAAGTTATGATTTGATTACTATAAAAGTTGTCAGAAAGGCAAGGCAATGACCCTATTATTTACTAGTACTTTACTACATCATTTTCCTATCTATATTTCAATGAGCAATGTGTTATTTTCTACATCTGTCAATATTTACTACATCATAATTTTATCAATGATATTATATAATTTGTTTTGTATCATTTAAAATATCTATTTTTCATAACATATAATTTGATGTATTTACATAATGTTTTCTAATGTAATTTGGATAGTTCAGTATATGGATACATGGATCATCTATACTATTAAAAGAGAAGCATTTTGTATAAGTCAATCATACTTTATACAATCAAAAAAAGTAAAACAAAACCAATCTATTTCTAAAAAAAACTACATAAGCAAAATAATAAAAACAAATTTAGCTAAATTATAGCAAACAATTTTAGATAGAAACAATTTTAGAAAACTCATAAAATTAAATGAACGTTCATCCACGAAATTTTGGGTTTAACAAATAATATAATCACTCTTAAAAATACATTCCTAATATATATCAAACAATTTATTCATTAGTTTAGATTCATCAAATCACGATTAATTTTGTTTCCTAAACCAAAAAAATTATACCTAACAATTTCGAAATTCAAAAATATAATAAACATTAATAACTACATTTAAACAATTTATTCATTACTTCGAATCCCTAAATTATAAAAACAATTATATAAAATAAATAAACTCATAAAATTAAATGAACCAGCATCGATGAAAATTTTAGTGTTATGCTAAAATATAGCAAACAATTTGTTCATTACTTCAAATCTCTTAATTATAGAAACAATTATATAAATAAATTAAACTCATAAAATTTAATTAATAGATTAAAAACGAAAATTTTAAAATGTGATTAAATAATATAATCACTCTTTAAAATAAATTCCTAATATATAGCAAATATTTTATTCATTAGTTTAGATTCATCAAATCACGATTAATTTTGTTTACTAAACCAAAAAATCATACCTACCAATTTCGAAATTCAAAACTATAATAAACATTAATAGCTAAATTTAAACAGTTTATGAATTACTTCGAATCGTAAATTATAGAAACAATTATATAAAAAAATAAACTCATAAAATTAAATGAACCAGCATCGATGGAAATTTTAGTGTTATGCTAAAATATAGCAAACAATTTGTTCATTACTTCAAATCCCTTACTTTATAGAAACAATTATATAAATAAATTAAACTCATAAAAATTAATAAGTCATCATCAACAAAATTTTTGCTAGAGATGATTAAATAATATAATCACTCATAAAAATGCATTCCTAATATATAGCAAACAATTTATTCATTAATTTTGATTCATCAAATCACGATTAATTTTGTTTCCTAAACCCAAAAATCATACCTAACATTTTCGAAATTCAAAACTATATCAAACATTAACAACTAAATATATGAAAATAAAAAATACCCAGAATATTCTATGTTCCATTTGTATTAATATAAATAAGAGAAGAATTCATCGATGGTGTATAATCCTCCCAAAAGATTATTAGCGATAAACACATTTTTTCAATCAAAAAAATGGAAAGTAATGACAACCAATGTGGTCTTCAAAGAAGTGTTTAAGAACCTTTAAATTATAATTCTCCATTTTTTCTTTTCATTTCCTACAAGTATGACTTCGTTTACATTTCTTTCAATACCATCTTCAAGACTATGTCATTATAAACTTTGGTTTTCCGATTCAACAATTTCTATTATACTACTCCAGTTAACAAATGCAATCATTAATCCTTCAACTAAATGAAATAAAAAAAATTATAAAAAGCTAAATCACATTACATTATTTAAGAAAACTAAACCAGCAAACTATGTTTTGAAAATACACCCGCACGTACGTGCGAGTCATCATCTAGTCTATACTATTAAAAGGGAAGCATTTTGTATAAGTCAATCATAGTTTATACAATAAAAAAAATAAAACAAAACCAATGTGATTATAAGAAAACTACATAACTGAACCCCTTAATTATAGAAACAATTATAGAAACAAATTAAACTTACTCATCAAATTTAATTCGAAATCATCATAACCGAATCCTTTAATTATAGAAACAATTATAGAAACAAATTAAACTCATAAAATTTATTACTACATCATCGACTAATATCTTGGAGAAGATCAAATAATATAATCACACTTTAAAATACATTCCTAAAATATAGCAAACAATTTATTCATTACTCATAAAATTTAATGCTACACCATCGACTAATATCTTGGAGAAGATCAAATATAATAATCACACTTTAAAATACATTCCTAAAATATAGCAAACAATTTATTCATTAGTTTGGATTCATCTACTAATGTTTAATATAGTTAATAAATTATATTAATCAATAATTAACTAACATTCCTAAATTAAAGCAAGCAATTAATCGTTTTCGAAATACACATTACACAACAAATATGCTTATAAGAAACCGATTTCAATGAATCATATTTGGTAAATCAATAAAATAAATCTAATCACTAATAATGTTCATTTCCTAATCCGTAAATCATCTACTTAAATCACGATCAATATTTGTTTCCTAAACCAGAAAATCATAACTAACAATTTCGAAAATCAATTACTTATCAAACTATAACAACTAAATATATGAAAATAATAAATTCCAAGAATATTATAGGTTCCATTAGAATTAATATAAATAAGAGATGAGGTCTTCGATGGTGTACGCTTCTCCAAAAGATTATTAGCGACAAACACAATTTATCACTCAAAAAAAATATTTTCAGCAATTAGCTAAACAATTCCCACACAAACGTTTGTATTTTTTTGTTTATTAGGTCAAAGATCGATCTCGAATGCTTATGACATGCATTTGCTTTTGATTAATCCTGACATTCCTGAGATTGTCGACTTTGTTTCCAAGTAAGCTATTACTTACAATAGTAGAATAATTGTTAAAGCGTTGAGCTATTGGTATATGCTAAGATTTGAGATGTTTGGTTAGAACGTACTCTTTACAATTTTTTTTTTAGAGTAGCAATAATTAAAACAGTTTGCAGAGTCAACTGCAGACGTATATGTGTAGACAGACTATAGAATATATAGGATATAAAATGCTACGATCCAAATAATAGTATAGATGCTATTTAAAATCAATGCACACACATCGTAGTACAAAGCATACATTTGTAAGATAGTACGTATGCGTTTGACTGTATGATCCGATCGTGTTTATACTTTCAAGCTTTATAAGTCTTTTGCATTTATACAATCTACTCATAGTACGTATTACGAACTTTACTACTGTCTTTTTTATGTTTGAACTATCTTCTTGTGATCATAGCTTGCCAAAAGATACACTATCTCTTAGCTTTATCCAGCAAAAGCATGTTCAGCATAAAAGAGATCAGAAGGTGGATTTTTACAATCGTGTGGGAAGAAAGACTGTTTCTGAATTACTAGAAGCTACAGAGGTGATCCAATCAATACAACTTGATTCCTTTTTTATTTCGTGCTACAATTTTCTATGGTATTTAAAAAACTAACATATACTGTTTACATTTGTAGGAGGGGAAGTTTAAAATTATGGGAACTATCTTCAAGATAGACATGGACTTTGGATGGTATTATTTTACCTGTCTGAAATGTGATAAACTAAGTATAAATTTCAAGACCTCCACTTCGGTTACATTTCTTTCAATACCATCTTCAAGACTTTCTCATTATAAACTTTCGTTTTCCAATTAAACATTTTCTATTCTACTACTCCACTTAACTAATGCAGTCATTAATCCTACAAATAAATGAAATAAAAAAAAAAATTAACAAGCCAAATCACATTACATTATTTAAGAAAACTAAACCAGCAAACTATGCTTTGAAAATACACCCGCACGTACGTGCGGGTCATCATCTAGTATATTATGTAAAAAAGTACGTATATATGACTAACTCCTGAAACTGCCAACATTCGAAAGAAAATTGAAACCATAAACCATTTATGTAAATTTTTAAACAAAATTGATCGACCAAAAAATTGACATGCTTCATAGATGAAAAGTGAATATATATTTGGATAATACAATATTTTGGGTGTTGGTTGTTATAACTTATATCTTCTTACCTCTTCTTGTCACTACGGGAGACGGCAATAAATTTATGGTATATATATTACAAGTTCAAGTCGCATATTGTAGAATAAACAAGTGTGCTTAACTGCTAAATATATATATTTTAGTAAGACTTTTGCATTACGAATAGTTAGTCTTTCTCGCTATACTATAGTCTATTGTGTGCCCATTACTTTGTCAAGATTTGAGTTCCAACAAGAATCTGTATAATAACATCTTCCAGATGAAATCTTGAAAACAAAAAGAAAAAAATGGATCCAGACGAAGAACTTGGAAGAAAATGTTGTAGCTGCTTCTTGAAGTTCATTTTCACAGCTGGTCTCTCTTGTCTCTTCTTATGGCTCTGTCTCCGTTCCGGCAGACCCAAATGCTCAATCCAAAACTTTTACGTTCCCGCCCTCAACAAAACCCTGAGGTCACAGGACAATACCACTCTCAACTTCATGGTTCGTTGTGACAATCCAAACAAAGTCCAAGGAATCTACTACGACGATGTCCACCTTAACTTCTACACTACAAACACGACCAAGACCAATTCCTCTGCTCTGGTCTTTGTTGGTAACTACACAGTGCCTAAGTTCTACCAAGGACACAAGAAGAAGGCCAAGAAGTGGGGTCAAGTGTTGCCTTTGAACAATCAGACGGTTCTACGAGCGGTTTGGCCTAATGGGTCGGCGGTTTTCAGGTTGGAACTGAAGACTCGAGTGAGCTTCAGGATTTTGCTTTGGAAAACGACGAGCTTTGGGTTTAACCGTGGTGCTGATGTCGAAGTGAACGGTGATGGAGTTATAGCTCAAAAGAAAGGGATTAAAATGAAGAAATCTATTTTGACAAAGCAGAATCTGACTGATGGGATTGATATTGGTGCTGATGATATTGCTGATGCTGTCCAAGATGATCACAAGAAAGGGACTAAATTGAAGAAATCTGATTCTTCTTTTCCATTATTAACAACCTCTTTTCCTATTTGTGGTTTGATGAATTTGCTAGTCTTAGTTGCCATTCGTTAAATGGGTTTTTACTACTCTCAACTTTTATTTCCCATAACGAATAAATTGATTTACTTTGTCTATCACAAACTTGAAAACATAAAAACCTTTGATGTACTTATTATAAAACCTATCGACAACAAGTCAATAGGTTGTTGCTTGATTAATTGTTACCACTCTTCTTGTCACTGCGACAGGAACTTAAATTACAAGTTCAAATATTAAACCAAACGCATATTATATACTGTATTTTAGTCTGACTTTGTTTTTGCTAGTAGTCTATTATATATCATTTTGTTTGGGTCATGAAATCTACTTACTATATACTTTCTTCACAGAATACTAGATTTACATATTTTTAAAAAGACGTGGTAGTCTTTATCAAATATTTTGTTTTGATTACTGTGAAAGTAGTCATTTGATTACTAGAAAAGTTTCCAAGAAAGGCAAGCAATGATCCTATTGAGTATTTTACTACATTTTCCGAAAGGAGAACTCAAAATCAGCACAATAACAACAAAAGGTGAACCATACCATAGCATTAAACTTTGTTCAGAGACAAAACACCTACGGCTTAATAGTACTATTAGTGAAGCTCGAAATCAGAAACTGTATAAACCAAGTTTAAAGAAAAAGAGAAAAGAGAGACAAACTGACTGAAACAAACAGAAAAGTTATAAAATCCTACCAATACGACAGCTCCTGTCTCCTAGCAATACTTAGCCTTCCAATTCAACAATCTCTGCATCAGAGAACAACGTTCCTCTTCATGTTCCTTCTACTGTCCTACACCACCATTACCTGATTCAGCAGAAAACAGTTCAAAGCGGATTAAAAAGGAGCAAACAAAGGAAGAAACATAGTATCATTCATATAAACACAACTTACATGGACGAATGCTTTCGGTGAATGGGAAAACAGCAGGATTCCTAAATCCAGTACTAGGACTCCTTATCTTCTTCCACTTCTTTGTCCCCATATCATATACACGCCATTGTGTATCAGTCAGACATATGATCTTGTTCTTTAATGAACTTACAGTTATAACCAGTTCTTCATCTTTGATTGGAGTTTTCTCCGTCAATAAAGGGTCCCAACTATATTTCTCACCATCGTGTTTCCAAACCCATATATCCATGTAGCTTGGATGTAGAACAAACAATGAGAGAGATCCTTGCAAATTCATCAGATAGGTAGCATCCGTGATCGTTTCTTCACCATGTATACCATCTGGATACTCAGGCAAGTTTATAACCTCAAATTTCCCTTCCAAATCCACTGAGAGGATCTCACCTGGCTCATCTAAAGAAGCCAGCCAATATATTTTACCTCCAACAAAGATATGACCACTTCTGAATGGCCTAACAGCCGAACGCATAGGAAAACAAGGCACAGGGCCAATATTTTTCCAAGAACCATTGCTGGACGAATACACCTCACATTCATATGCTAAAGTGTAAACGACTTCACCTTCTTGATAATAGTATCCCTTTACAGTTACCTTTTCTATAGGAATTTTCTTCCTTATGCAGAATATACGGAAAATCCTATAGTCACTGATGTCGGAGCCATAAGCCACTCCTACACTTGGCACAAACCCAAATGAGGGTCTCCCTTGGGGAAGAAGGAGAGTTTCCCTCGTACAAGGGTTGCATATCCATATCTGCAGATCACAAAACTTGTTTTGTACGTCTTCGTCACATATTTCATTCACACAACAGATGAGTCCATTATAGGATGATACCATGTACATTGACTCCTCATGGCTTTTCTGAGATGGATCGATAGTGTTGAGGAGGGAACGTCTAAAACTCCTTGCATCCATCAAATACAGCTTCATTGCTGGCCCCATAGTAGGACATAATATGAATGATGGATTCTTCTTTGATTCAGCTAACTGCAGCTCTGCAAGGTACTTACTAAGTTTCTTACAATACCGGGTAGACTTGACAGAAACCTGAGACCGCACGTCAATTGCATCTACGACATTCATCCGCTTGATCCGCTGAGAACGAGTTTTGATCATTTTCTGTTTGCTCTGTTGTTAATGCCCTGCATCAACAAAAACAACGATTAACACATAAAAAGGGATTCAAGCACATATATTTCTGCAACATGAATGGGTATTCATGTGACTGTAAGAAGCTACAACCTAAAGGAGCATACAAGTGCCAACTACTAATACACAAACACATTAGTACCGTGGAAGGACCAAAAAGAAAGCTAAGAGGCACCCATCAGAACCAAGAAAAAGGATTTGAAAATGAAAGGAAATGCATCAAAATTATCTTTTATCTAAAAGAGTACTTCCTTCTGCATGTTTCATTGTAAATAAATATATATCAACGCTGAAATGAACCTGAGAACACGTTGTGAACGTACAATAATGTCATACCATAGTTAACTTGAATTTGACTAGCCGGCATGCCAGCAAAAGCACAGCCCAAAAAAGGATACTCTCGTATAGAGTACATATCAACAGTTCAAAGTAATGATTGGGAAACAGTTAACCGAACAGTACTAACTAATACATGCAGTGACTTAAAAGTATAAAACTGAATCCTTGAACCCTCTCTGCAAAGAAATTAAAGTGCATTGATGTGATGTGAGCATTCATAATCATATAAACCCAAAATTTTGAGCATGAATTTCTAGAAACTTACACACACATGTAACCAGACAGGTGACATATTAATGAACAGAGAAGAGACAAACAAAGGCAACTTTCCGAGAGAAAATAAGCTTCTTGATTGTGCCATTACCCAAAATGCACATGACAGAAAATGCAGAGTTCTATGCAGTGGAACAATGAGTAGCAAAATGCGCATCAAAAGTGCAAACATGGCGAACAAGCTGAAATAAATGGAAGCATAGGAAACTAATTGCTCCAAGATTCGATGGCTAATCATATAGTCTATTCACACATGATGAAAACTATCAACCCAAATACCATTTATTTTAAGTCGAAAGGGATGGTTTTGGGGTTTATCTAAAGGGAAAAAGTCTCTTTGACCTCATACAGATGATAACCATTGTATCTTAGACATAAAGAAGCATTCCTTGAGCACAAGACAGTTCTTATACAACGACTTCAAAGAAAAAAAAAACACTACCATCACGGGCACATCGGTTCCATTGTCCAAACTCACAACTCCTAAAAAACCATCAAAGATAAATTAAGCTAAAAGGAACTTCTTTCAAGAGGTATAATATAGCACAACTCTTGGAAAACATCTACCGAACTTAGCAAAACGTTTGATTTCGAATATTACTCATATATTAATCATCTACTTGTTCAATCTCAATGAAAGCACAGCATAGAAGACTACAAAAATGTCAAAAGCAAAAGGAGGAGAATAAAAAAAAACCAAAAAGCTTGCTGATTTCTTCTACCAACTCTGAGACTCAGAAACATGCAGAGAAAAAACCACAATGATCCATGAAAATCACTAAGATCAAACACCGTATTACCAGAAATCACTAAAACCTAGTAGCGCTTCAAACATGGGATTCCCGAAATCAAAAGAAAAGAATGGTTCAGTTACCTCAGAACTCAGAAGTAGAAGGAAGAAGATAACGGCTAGAGATTACAATGGAAGGCAACTATTTAGATAACCATTTCATCACTCTCTCATTTCCACCATCTTTTTTTTTGTTTGGGGAATCGAGAAAAGTGTGTGATGAAATTGGATTTGAAGAACACGTGTTTGTTTTGAGAATAATTAGATTTCATATATGTAATTCGTTGTTAAACTAAGACTAAAATATGCATCTTTGTGTATTAAATATTTTATTACTATTATTAACAAAAATAAATAAAAAATTAACAAGGGGATTATTAAGTTTCGGTACGATTCTTACAAAATTAAACCGGGATAAAACAACATTGCTTCTCATCTGTTGTAAATGGGCCTAATTTAATTTCAGCCTTATGAGTGACTTGAAGATGGGCCAGAGTTTGGATGCAACTAAAGTAAGACACGGCACCGTTTTGTTCTGCTTGCTTCATTTGGTCGCACAGGTCGAGAGGATGAGAGATCAACAACCAACTCTGCTCGATTCTCTTTAATTTTGAGTCTCTGATATTAAACTAGTTCATATTGGTATATCGACAATACTCAATCACAAGACCATTTTTATTTGAATGTCTAAAATGAATACTCAAACACAAGACCATTTTTATTTTTATAAGCTACATGATGTTAAGCGTGATTATTGCCTAAGCTATGAAGCTGCCAACGTTTCCAAAAGAAGAAGAAGAAGAAGAAGAAGAAGAAGCTCACTAAAGCAGAACTCTAAATAGCTACAAGAAGAGAGAATCAAAGCAGAAGAATAATAATTATGTTTATCACAATATATAGTTTAAAAAACACTCTGTTCACAGACACAGCTTATTACGAAAAGTCTTGAAAACAGAAACATCATAAACCAAGTTCAAAAGGAAGATAAAACCCAACACAAACCAGAAAGTCATAATTCCCAAACCAATATTCAAGTTGCAGTACTGAGAGAAACATATAACGTCTTCAATTCAACATTCCCTGCCTACCATCATTGAAGATCGATACTCTTGCTGTTTCCTTCTTCAATTCAACAGGTTCACACCACCATCACCTGATTCCACAAACAACAGATCAAAGCATATTAGAAAGCAAACAAAGGAAGAAACATACTAGCATTCATGTAAACACAACTTACATGGAAGAATGCTTTTGGTGAATGGAAACACGGCAGGATTCACAAATCCATTAAGAGGGATTCTCTTCTTCCACTTTCTTGTCTTCACATCATATATATGCCAGTGTGTCCCTGTCACGCATATGATGTTGTTCTTGAATGAAGTTACGGTTACAACCAGTTCGTCATCTTCGATTAGAATCTTATCCCACAATACAAGTTCCCAACTACCTTTCCAAACCCATACATCCATGTAGCCTGTATGTATAACAAGTAATGCGAGAGATCCTTGAAAATTTACCAGAAAAGTACCATCTGTGATATTTTCTTCTCCCTCTTTACCATCTTCATAGGGCAAGTTTATAACATTGAATCTCCCTTCCCAATCCACTGAGAGGATCTCACCTGGCTCAGCTAAAGAAGCCAGCCAATATATTTTACCTCCAACAAAGATATGACCAGTTCTGAATGGCCTTACTACCGCACGCATTGGAAAACAAGGCACAGGGCCAATATTTTTCCAATAACCACTGCTGGATGAATACACCTCACATTCATATGCTAAAGCATAACGGTATTTTGGAATGAATTCACCTTCTCGAACATAATATCCCTCAACATCTAACCTTTCTTCAGGAATTTTCTTTCCAACGCAGAATATACGGAAAACTCTATACTCACCGATCTCGGAGCCATAAGCCACTCCGACACTTGGCTCAAAGTTACACGATGGTCTCCCTTGGGGAAGAAGGAGAGTCTCCCTCGTACAAGGGTTGCATATCCATATCTGCAGATCACATAACTTCCTTTCTACGTTGTCTTCGACAGAAATCAAATTCAAGCAGCAGATGAGTCCGTTAAAGGATGAGATCATGTACATGAAGTTCTTCTGGCTTCTTTGAGATGGATCAATAGTGTGGAGGAGGCAACGTTCAACACTCTTTGCATCCATCAAATACAACTTCATTGCTGCCTCCATAATAGGACATGCTATGAATGACGGATTCTTCCCCCATTTCTCTAACAGAAACTTATGAAAATATTTATTACTAATTGATCTCTGCCATTTCTTACTAACTGCCTTAGAAGACAAGATAGATTTGACATCGACACGGGACATGATTTCCATAAAAATATCCTCTTCATCTGCAATGTTCCATGTCTCTGTTTTCTCTGCTCTAGATAGCTTGAGAGGCTGTTTCTCTGTTCTCATCCGTTTGATACGCTGAGCACAACTTTCAACCATTTTCTGTTTGCTTTATGTTGCTAAGGCTCTGCATCAACAAAAACACAGATATTCAACCAGCATAAATGTGTGTTTTAAGCGATTGTAACAAGCACACAACTGCTAACTATTCATACACAAATTAGATGAAGACCACAACGACAGCTGCACCCATCAGAACCAAGCAACAGGGTTTGAACATGAAATGAAAATGCATCAGAGTTATCCTCAATGTAAACGAGTACTTTCATCTGCATGTTTGATTCTAAATAGATATATGCGATCAACACTGAATTGAACCTGAGAACAAATCGCCAAGGATACAAAATCTAAAGTACCAAGAATCGGAATAATCAAAGCAATAGCTACGAGGACAGATGAGTAAGGAAAACATTATGCACCGACATGAAATCAAGGATTTGTTTCGCAATCGTGCTATATACCGACACAAAATTGGGACAGTGATCCTAACCAAGAGGCAACAAATCAGGAAATTGATAGAAAATTTATGAATGTAGAACTCAGATTGCAATTTCAGATCTGATATAAAAAACAAGGATTATCACACAATTGAAGGAAAGAGGGCGATATCAACGAGACCTTTTCCCGGCTTTCATATGCTTTTTCTCCGAAGATCTTCACGAGTGATTGCTAGGGATCGAGATGGAGATCTTCAATTATATATAAAATTTAGTTATAAATCATGAATAAAAATCTACCAGCATGGTAAAATTTAGTAGCATACCACAAATAACTTAATAAAAACATTTGTCATATATTGTCAACGTACAATAATGTCATACCATAATTAACTTGCTATATAACTTTGTATAATATTTGACTAGCCGGCATGCCAGCAAAAGCACAGCCAAAAAAGGATACTCTCGTATACTGTACATATCGTCAGTTCACAGTTACGATTTACTGGAAATAGGTTACTAGCAAAGTACTAACTAATACATGCACTGACTTAAAATAAAAAATGAACCCTTGAACCCTCTCTGCAAAGAGCTTGAATTGCATTGGTGTGAGCATTCATATTCATATACCACCCACAATTTTGAGCATGAATTTCTGGAAACTTACATACATATGTACCTACACAGGTGAAAATATTATAGTACAAAGAAAAGACAAAAAAAAAAAAGCCAACTTTTCGAAAGAAATTGAGCTTCCTGATTCTGTGATTCCTTAAAATGCACATGTCAGAAAATGCAGATTCTATGTAGTGGAGCAATGACAAGCAAAATGCATATCTCAAGTGCAAACATGGCGAACAAGCTCAAATGAATGGAAGCATAGGAAACTAATTTTTCCTAGATAAGATGGCTAATCATAATATATTCACACCTGATGAAAATTTTCAGCCTGAATACTATTTTCTTTTAAGTCAGAAGGGATGATTTTTTGGGATATCTAAGGGAAAAAAAAAAGAGTCTGTTTGATCTCATATGGCGCTGCAAACTTCACTCCACACCCATGGGTAATCATATTATCTTAGACACATAGAAGCAGTCCTTGAGCACAAGAAAATTCTTATACAACGACTTCAAAGAAGAAAATCTAACATATATCTCGGGCACATAGGTTCCATTGTCTAAACTCATTACTACTAAGAACCACCGAAGAGAAATATAGCTACTTCCTCAGAGAAATATATGAACTTTTTTCAAAAGGTATAGGAGAACTCTTGGAAACCATTCAGTACTTTTTTTTGCTGCACAATAAAGACTCTTTAAAGTTCATTGTCATTTTACCAAACTTAGCAAAATGTTTGATTTCGAAGATAAACCTACATCGATCTGCTTGTTCAATCACAAATGATAGAAGCATAGACAAGAACAACAAATGCAAAAGAGAGAAATAAAGAGGCAAATGTAATAAGCAAAAAGAGTTGCTTGGAAACCAACCTGTGACAGAAAAATAAAAGCGCTGCTGAATCTAACAACTCCGAAACTCATAAACTTGGAGAGAGAGAGAGCCAAAATGATCCACGAAACTAGTAGCGAGGGCTCTTTCATCCAGCTTACCCTTCAAAAAGGAAAATTCATAAGTGAGTCTTTCAATTTCTTATAATGAAACAACAAAAGTATTTTTAGACCCATTTATATTCTATTCTAACGCATCATAAGAGAGAGATATCAAACACCGTATCACCACAATTCACATCAAAATTCAATGTTTCTATGATCAATCCGTAAAACATTGTAACGCTTAAAAAATCAAAAACAGTTAAAAGAAGAAAAGATCATCGCTGACTGACCTGACAAGTAGGCGATAACGGTAAGGGATTCCGGTGGAACGCAATTAAAACTCCCAAAAATGGAAACAATTTCATGACCTTATGATATTGGGAGTTTTAATTTCTTATTAATGTTTTTTTTTTCTTTTGGGGGTGTGGGAATCGAGAATAGTATGAACAAATATGAAGAACACGTGTTCTGAGACAAGAAACAATTCGTGTATTTCGCTCTTGTGATTAGAGTGACAAATCACCCAACTTTGTTGATCTTATAATTTGGGGAGACCACCACCGCCGTCTCTCTCTCTCTCTCGGCGTTAAATACTTTACTGTCCCATTCATTTGTAAACTTATTAGTTTTAATCAAAGACGCATTATTTCTCCGGTATGTATCGGTTATTATGATTCCTCGTTTCGGTCGGTTACACATTTAACCGGGAAAAAGAACAACAAATAACACGACTCTCGTCTCTTCTTGATTCAATCAAACTTGACGTAAAGTTTTCCAGCTCAAGATCAATCAAAAGCACCAAGCGAATACTGTACTTTTTTTTGGGTCTAATTCTGGGAGCCAAGCTTGCTCAAAAAGAAGAAAGAGAATTTGGTTATATTTTTGGCTTTTAAACGGGTCTTCAAATTTCCACAGATCAATAATAGTGAACTAAATTTACTAATCCACAAGTAAGAAATTTTGGAACAGAACCAAGTCATCATCACCCATGGGATGGGACACCTCAATCCACATCATAAAAAAAGAAACCCTATCGACCTTAAAAAGTTGCTATTAAAAAAGAAGAAGAAAGGATTAGTTTGTTGTCTTTGCGACTGGGCTCCTTAACCGTCGAGCCGCTGGAAGAAGTAGAGATAACCCATGTCTTTAGGAGGATCAGTCGAGATACCAACTTTGCTGTCATTGAAAATAACCCAACGACCTTCTTTCAATATGTGAGCCACGTAATGCCCACAGTGAACTGATGTTCCCATGTGACTCACTATTCCAAACAGCTTGTATTCTGCGTTTAATTAAGATCAATCTTAGAGTTAGTAAGAAAACTTCTCATACTGTTTACGTGTACAAAATAAAAATCACACACTAACTAAGATTTGTTTTGCAAAATGTGAAAAGAAAGACTCAAAAAGAGGGTTTGAAAAACTAACTCCCTCCTCCATCTGGTAATCCACTTTGAGCCGGAGTCTGTCCTGAATTGCTTGAGGACACATCCATGTCTGAAACAGATGCATTAGGGTTGTTGAATATCCAATCTGTTGCTTTCTCAATATCTCCTCCCTGATTAAACAAAACCAATAAACGACTTCAGTGATAAGAATAAAGGAAAAAGAGCCTTGCAAAAATGCAACTAATTTGCTCAAAAGTGTTATACCGAGGCTTTTAGTGCCTTCCGAGCAACATCTTCAGCAAAACCAAAGGAGAGTAAGGTATCAACACTTGATTGGTCAACGTCAGATGTCTGATTTGAGATCGGTGCATCAATGTCTATGAAACAAAATGCCTCATCATATTAGAAACTGGTCTCAAAACGTAATTTAGTTTTATGAGAAAAGTTGGGCCTCAACTACAAGATTTGAGGAACTATCCATTACCTGAATCATTCAAGTGAGAGAGTAACCAGTTCATTGCCTCTTCAACCCCAGCATTGGAAGTATTTATGGCAGCTTTCTGGCAATGAAGCTGGTTAAATCCCATTGAGACAAGTTGTGCAACTATCTCCTCATTTGCCACAGGCTGCGCTGATTCCCTCACTTCTTCACGAACTGAATGCAGAAAATCCAACAACCAACAGAATTATAGGGAGAATAACAAATTAACAACTGTCGTTTATCTAACAATATGATAAATGAATGGATAGATTGGACAAGGAAATAAAGAAACCAGAGTACCAAGACACTAAAACAACTATGACATGCAAAAAAAAAGTTAAAAAAAAACTATAATCAAATTACCAAAAAAAAAACCCGAATAAGTAGCTAGTGAATGTCTAAGAGAAGGAAAACTCCTGTGTGAATAAAAAACCTCAGCAGTTAAAGTGGTGCACAACATGCAACAATACACAGAATTCCTTCCTAGAAAGTAACTGTCATAATAAAGAAACCGTTTAAGGTATGCTTGTACGTTTAAATGATTAGTAAACTGAGTTATTCCAAGATAGGTTCAATGGCTACTAGTCATGACATTAGAAAAAGTAGCACTGAGTTCTAAACAATCGATAATTTAAGTCGATCATTATTTATGTTAATTATGAAACACAATTATTGTAATATATAACAACATACCGTCATCTGGCAACAGTTCCTCCCCAGGTTGGAGTCCTTTGCTACGCATGTGGCTGATATCAATTACATCCGGAACATCAATGTACACATCTGCCTCCACAAATCAAGAAAAATATATAATAAGTATTTATATACAGGGCCAGGCCAGCAGAGGAGCATTATAAGGATCAGTATATCAGAAAGAGACCAAGTTTCTTTGGCACCCAGCCTGCCTCCATAACAAACTTCCGCATGTGCAAGACCAAATAATCAGGGAAAGATGTAAACCCAGTAGTCCTGCATAAAATGGAAACCAAAAGTTCACCATTAAAGCTTACTTTCATTCTAGTTTTGGTTGCACTAATATTCACCCATCAAAAATATATATATCGTACTTGATAGCTGATGTCATCTGCTTTAGAGCAGAGCTATAATAATCATCAATCTGCTCTGATGCAAAATTTGCTAAACAAGCTTCTAAAGGAACTCGTGGGCGTACTATTTCATCACTTGACCTGCTGAAAATAAATATCTTAGATAAGCAGCGAAACTATGAAACATATTAAAGTTGCGTCAATTAACTCACATATCATTTTCTTCCAACCCTTTTCCTGCTTTCTGCTTGTTAAAGGCTTCTAATTCATCTTGATCAGCAGACATTAAGCAAAACAAAGACAATAAAATTAAGAAACACGTCAAACAATAAAGGAAGAGGAACAGAGACAGACGAACAGGATATACCTTTATTAGTTGCCTCATGCAGCGGAATGTTCAAAGATAGAATACAGTCATCCCTCTTACTATATGCAACCTTTCCAGATGGACAAAGAATCTTTTGTTCTATTCCGAACTTAAAGCTCCTCGTGGGGTCTAAATCTGGTGTCGTATTGCTAACACGCTCAAATTTGCCTACCAAATGGAGAAAAAACTCAAGAGCGTCCTACGAGACAGAATGGTGCTAGTTAGTGTGAAAACATAAATAATTTCGTTAACAGATGCCTAAAAGGAGTATCATTCAAAAACAGGTAAGAAAATTAAAAAAAAAAAACTCTGAACATATAAGAAGACATGGCTTTCACCTGCTGTCTCATGGAAGAGAATTCTGCGTGGCTTGCAGCAATTACATTTTTGAACATGCGAGGAGGTATTCCTTCTTGTCTCTATTATCGATTAAAGAAAGAAACAATATGTAAGTCATCAGAAACCAACACAAGAGGGGTATGCATAAAAAAAAATTGTGGCCATCAGCATACATAAATTTATTCAAAAGTAAAACAAAGGACTTCAACCATTTGTTGCTAGATGAAGTCGTACCAAAAAGGAAAACCTATAAGGTATAAAATGAGTAAATGACTAAAGATGAGGAACTAACCACAGAAACCCGGAAAAAAAAAAAAAAACTAGTATAAAAAGATTGAAATGCCTATAAAGCTCTTGATCCATCATTGGTTTCTATTGAAGATCAATGAGGAATTTAATAATCATATAGAATAAGAATCTTACAGCATCTCCAGTTGCAGCATCCATCTGCAATCAGAAGAATGGCAAAATCAATGTATCAAGGCCCTAAGAGGTGATTTAGATAATACATATGAATGCAAGCAAAAATAATTCCTGATTTAGTCATACCTTTGTTGCCGGAATAGAGTACTTCCCAGATAGTAAACCATGTCCAAGCTTTGTTCTGCAACCAACAGTGAAAGGAGAAGAAAATAAATATGAAATTTGCAATGCAACTGTTCCTCATAGAAATCAGATTAGGAAGTTTAGAAGTGCACATCATATTAAACCAAACAGAGAAAAGGCAGAAACTAAAACATGTTCATGCAAATACAGAGTACACACATATATAATCTTAATACCTTTCAAGTTTCATCCATACAATGTTAAAGTTCAATCACATGATTCAGAAAGTCCAGAGCATAAATATGGTAACATTTTTTCAAACAATAACTCACAATTGCATATTGAGGTCCAAAGTTGGATCAGCAGGAGCCATCTCAAAAGCCATCTTTAAGCTCTGATGTGAAAAGTATCTGCAACAATCTCAGACCAAAAGTTACTACAGTGGATCTAAAGAGCAAAAGGTTTGTTCTGATTTAAGTTATACAAGTTAAAATAAATATGGGCAATGGCATGTACCTTGAAATAAATGAATGGGTAGAGAAAACAACCTGCATCGTAGCTGCCAAGTAGCAACTGGCAAAAGAAATGAAATGGACTTAAGACATCAACAAGGACAAGAAATCCCTTACAATGTTTCCATTATGAAGAGTACCTGTTCCCAAGATTGACAAGTCCGGTATATCCAGGTCCAAAAACTGGTACTAATTCTTTTCCACTCTCTTGTATACGGTTCCAATCAAAATTTGTATTTTGATCAAGTTCCCTTTCGGCAGTTGTCATTTCAGTCTGTGAAGATTGTAGCAAACATCCCAAGAAATTAATATTATTCAGATGAAAGCTGTTTTATCAATATGGAATATCTTTTAGCAAAAAAGATGATCAAGCAGTATAA